AGGAGAATTTGTTCGCATTGCTCCTGCAGGGCTTGAGATGATGAGTGGTTGCAAAACTGCGAAGGGTCCATGAAATAACCAGTGCAGGATGGAAGTGGTCTCTGCATTTATGTAAAACCTGGGCCTCAGGTGGGACACACGCAGGACAGAAGCAGTTCGGAGAGAACTGGAGGAGCTGCTGGAAGGAAGCTGGTGCCACACAGGGAGGGAGCGACAGGAAGGCTGGAGCGGGAAAGCATGCAAGAACTCTTTAAGGATGGAGATGCAAGAAGGACAAAGGGAAGTCTTAGCACTGGTGACGCAAACAGGAAAGTATTAATAACAAGTATTTATTGAACACTTCCTGTCTGCGGTTACTATATTATTCATGTGATCTTCACAGATCTGTGAGGTAGGCCTGTTATACTTCCTATTTCACAGAGGAAGGAACTGAGGCACTAAGAATATTCACATCATCCAGGTCGCATGCTGGTAGACAGAAGAAGCCGAAACTGAATCAACTTTCAGACACCTTTCTACCTAAGCCCTGACTCCAGAGAAGAATTCCATAGCTGGGCTGCTCCAGAGAACTGACGTAGGTGTGTGACTAGAACAAATATGTACTTTGAGGTGACAGGTGAAGGAGCTGTAAGGTAGAATGTTCAAAATTATCATCAACTCATCATCAGATGCAGGTCTGAGAATGTCACCTAAAGGATTGTCTGGAAATGCAGTGAAGAAAAAAATTTTGACCTCGCAGAAACTTGGTGATAAAGATAGCAAAAAGAATAGAAAAAAATGGTTTAAACTTGGTGAGAGAAGGATAATTTGTGCAAAAGAAGTGAACCATTTCATCTACAAGTGACTTTCAGTTGAACCAGGCAGGTGGTAGCATTTAGTAGATTACTAACAATAAATGATAACAAATACCAATTGCCAAATAAGACATCTAGAGACTCCGAGTTCAGACATTCTGCCTGAAGCCGTTGTCACTTAACCTGGAACTGATACATGTCTGCAGATACCTGTTCAATGCCTCTTTGTTCCTTCTGAAGGGGAGATGAGCTCCTTTGCCCACCTGGCTGTTTTGGGTCAAGTCATTAGACATTTTTGTTTCTCGGTTTAGTTTGATTTTACCAAAGCATTACCAAAAGAGCCATGTTGGTACCTACACAAAACAATTTGGTAGGAGGAAGTGAACATTCTGAAATGGAAGTCAAGAGTGTTTCTGTTCTGGATGGCTCTCCCCGTCGTCCCTTGTCCATCCCGCTGCCACGGGGTTGGCATAGGCAGGTATGGGTGCGATTCAAACAGCTTTACCCCACTGTGGTGCATTCAGATTCTGAGAGCTGAGCCCCCTGCAGAAGAGTAAGGCATGTGGGAAACGCAGCGTTTCGTGGGCCCCTCACTCTGCTTGTCGGGAACGACCCATGGCCCTGCCTTTAGCACCGCTTCCACCCACTGCTGTCAGCGCATGGCTCCCAGGTGGCCACCTGTCACGGTCTGCCTCCTCCCAGGCTCTGGGTCTGGACCAGGGCCACTTGATGCTCCTGTCAGGATCCTGGGACTGCTTCCTTTGCTGGTGGAGGGGTAGACAGGAGCCTGAAAGCCAGTGACGATGGCTTGCGGAGAAGAAGAGGCCTGAGTGTATGAAGTTTAGAGGTGGGCAGGAGCAGAGATGAACTGCTTATGTGTGCTGCTAGACTGTTTTCCGCTCTGGCACAGAACCTGAACCTGAAAGAAATAGTCTAAGCAAAAAAGATAACATATTTTTAATGACTTGGGAAGAAAGTTTTCAATAATATCTTCAAATGAGATCAAGAGAATCAGAATTAGTTCTGAGATGTGGATGCTGTATAAAGTGGCTTGGTTAATGTGTTTGTCACTTCCCTGGCTTGGCAATGTTTTGCCTCTTTGAACAGAGAAAACATTGTGCTGACTAAACTTAGAGCATATTATCTGTGATACTGAAACTAATATTTAAAGACTGCTTGGTGGAACTTTAAAAAAAAAAAAAACAAGTAAATAACCTAATTATCTAAGGTTCAGAGCAACCTCCATCCCTCCGGGGTTAGGCTTATTTACAACATGATTCGCATGCACATTACAGATAACAAAGTATAAATCAGTAGTTCTTTCATCTCAACAATGAAAATGCTATTTTAGATTAATTGGAAATAATGCCCATTTGGGATTGTAGAACAGTTTTAGAGAAAGCCATTTCTTACACTTCTAAAGTTAAACTTTCACTAGAATAATAAGACTTTGGCAAATAGCTTTGAGGTACTTCTTTAAATAAGACATAGTTAGTAATTAAATGATTGATGTCCCAATTCCTCCAAGTGGTTAACGTTTATTACTTAAGTACTCTGGACCTGATTTGCATATGAAGCTTATATTCATTATCTGTCTTATTTAAGCCTCACAGCTGCCAAAAGAGGCAAACATTGACTCCTTTTTTTTGCGGGGGCGGGGAGGCCACTGGGAATCAAACTCATAACCTCACACTTTGCCAGTCAGGAACTTGTTTTTTTTGTTGTTGTTGTTGTTTGGGTTTTTTTTTTTTTTTTTGGTACCAGGGATTGAACTCACAATCTTGTACTTGCCAAGCAGGTGCTTGTGCCACAGAGCTAAATCCTCGGCCCTCAGTCAGGCACTTGCATCACTGAGCTATATCCCTGGACCCCATTCACTTCTTCTTAGAGATGAACACATTGAGTCTTAGAAAAGTTAATATGCCTGCAATCCCTCAGCTACCAAACCCCTTCCAAGTGTGTCCGACCTGCAAGTCTATGGTATAAATTCCAAGCTGCCTCTGACGATAGATTGTCACTACATTTTTTTATGTATAACTTTGTTTTGTCATCACCTTAATATCATTTCAATTTATATGACAGTCATTTTTGGCATTTTTACATCATTTATTAGACAGTTATTATAACTAACCAATACCAAGTACTGTAGTACATTATCTATTTTTACTCTTTCACCCAATCTATAGTTTTATTGTGTTGCTCTTGAAACAAACAAGGGCTGGAGGAAACTGAATCTCAGAAAGGATAAAAGATTTCCCAACACAACAGTTGTAGGAGTTGTAAGAGTCAAAAGCAAACTCTTGAACTTGGAGTGTGTGATCTGTGATGTTTCATCAGCTCAGAGGGCCATAACAGATTTCCATAATGGAGGAATAAACTCAGAAGACCATGAGTGAGGGTACCTCCATTGGAAAGGTTTCAGGAAGTGGAATGGGCAGCATGTGCAGTCCAGCAGGAGATCCAGAGGTGCTTAGATGGTTTCCCTGGGCCCAGCGTTGTTGAATGGTCTATGTTGTATCCGGCCAGGCTCTCCTGGGGGCTGGAGGCATTTTAGGTGCTGTGTGGGTGAGAGATCATTGCAGGCCCAGGGAGCCCTCAGAGTGGGAGCCAGAGCTGCTCCATGCCAATTCAGTCGTTCCATTGATGAGCTATGCTGATAGAAGCAGAGCGCATGGGATGCTCCTCAAGTATACAGATGACATGTACACTTTTGCCCTCTGTCTGCCAATACATAGACTATCTATGAGTCTCCAGAGCTTTGAACAGTGGTGTGGTGCTCTGTATCACAAGGAAACAAACTCAAGATTGAGGCTGGAGTTCAGAAAGTCACACAGTGTATGGGTTTGGGCACTGAAATCAATGACGAGCAAGATAAAGTCTCTTAGACAGAGCTAACATTTCAGTGGAAGGAGACAGGACAGAACGAGGCCCTGCAACAGTAATACACACTGATAAAGGAAAGGAAAGTTGGATGAAGAGGAAAAAAGAGATGGGGAAAGGAGGGATACCTTTTACATATGTGGTCACAGAAGGCCTCTTTGTAGAGGAGATGCCAAATGAATACTTGAAAGAAGTAAAGGACAAGCCACGTGGCCATCTAAGGGGAAAGCACTGTAGGCAAAGGAGACAGGAGGTAGAAGCATGCTTGGAAGACGTGAGGATCAGCAAGGAGAACAGGGCTGGGGCAGAAAGTGGGCGGAAGGCAGAGCCATGGGATCCTCATCAGAAAGGCAGACTCATGGTCGAGACTCAGGATTTGACTCACGGTGAAATGAGAAGCTCTTGAAGAGTTTGAGCAGAAGGCTGCCATGATGATGCGTATGTGGACTGTATTAGTATATGTTTGTGACAGCTAGTGAATACATTCATTCATCATGGGAAGGTGGCAGATATAAAGATCACATCTTAATTCTTCTACTTCCCTCATCCATCCCTAGCTCCCCTCCCCATCTCCGGATGGCCTATCTCCATGTTTCCTATCACTGTTCTCTTATTTTACTTTTTAGTTGTACTTTATTAGTCCAGAAATAATTAACCTTCTGTATCTGATTTATTTCACTTAGCATACAGTCTCAAAATGCATCCAATTTCCTACAGATGACCGAAGTGTACCCTTTATGGCTCAGTGTTTCTGTTACCACATTTTCTTTATCCATTTGTCTGCTGACAGACATAGAGGCTGCTTTCAAGATTTAGTTATTGTGAGTTGTGCTCCTATCAATATGGCTATGCAAGTGTCATTGTAATACAGTGTCTTTAGCTCTTTCAGAAAGACACCCAGATGATGCTTAGCTGGGTCACATGGACTTTCTACTTTTAATTTTTTGAGGAATCTCCATACTGACTTTGATATAAGTTGTACTAGTTTACATCACATCAACAGTGTAAAATGATTCTTTTTTTCCCCACAACCTCATCAGAATTTGTTTTTGTTCTTGATGGTAGCCATCTTCTCTGGACTAAGAATCTTAGTGTTGTGTTTTTATTTGCATTTCTCTAATGTGTGTGTGAGAAAAGGAGCATTCCAGCTGTGAAAGAGGAAGAAGTGAGCCAGGCTTAGCAGCTACTAAAATAATCCAGTGGGAAGAGATGGTGCACAGACCAGGATGGGGGTGGATAGATGATAGCAATGGAGTAGTCCTGCTTATATTTTGAAGTAATTTCTAATGAAAAGCCCCATAACCAAGATAATGTTACTCACAGATTATGGACAATTGGTCAGGATATGACTTGAATTTGTTCATATACCCACAGCACTATTATGATGATTTGGAATGTGCACTTATACCTCACGGCATCATTGTGGACATATGAGTGTTGTTTCCTTCACTGGTTTTGGTCCCGCTCTGAGCTGGCCTTTGTATGAAACCTACAATATTTTGAGACTTTATTTCTAAGCCCCTTTTTTAGTGGTAAAGAGAACTTTTATAGGAGAACAAATTTAGAATACATGAATTTATGCTTTAGCTAACTGCTACACCTAGACATTTGTCCAAGGGGCATGGTAAGAGGGATATACGTATGTAAGCTATCATAACAGCATCACAGTAACAGTGTCCAGTTCAAAAAATGACAGTGGCAACTGGGAAAGCATTGTCTTTCACCCAGAAGCCTTTATCCAAGGCTATCCACAGTTAACAGACCAAGTTACCCAGGGAGATTCCGGAGGTAACCTTTCTAGGACAGGATGCACCCTCCCAGTCCTGACTTTTCCTCTAACTTTCATTGCTCTTTGGACTAAGCAATGAGTCACAGTTCAGCCACTCTGCATGAAATTGTTTTCTGACAAATGGTAGTGTTTCAGGAATAAGTGTATCTTTAAACTATCAACAGAAAACTAATTCTAGTTCTTTCCTGCCTGTCTACATAGGCATCCTCTGGCTTCTTGGTATCCAGTTGGCTTCTCCTAAGTACAATATTTTCTTTCTTGTTGTAAGCCCCAGGTCACTTCCACTTACTTTTGGTTTTCAAAAAGCTACAATTAATTCAGCATCAGAATTTATAGGTCATGTCCCTTTGACAGAACTACCTTAGTGCTAAGACTGTTCATGTGCCTTGGGGTTATTGGTCAAAGGCAAACACTTAAGTCTCCACATTCTATGGAAAGCAAACTGTCTGATGTTTACAACACAGCTCTGGAATCTTAGCAATTCTTCAGAGGCTCGTAATTCAGAGTCGGGAAGGCAGTGAGGAGTAGGACCAAGTTGAGACTGTGGGCTTACACACCAAATCTTTCCTCAAGCTATTGTACTTTTCCCTCTATACTTTTGTAAGTTGTTATATTCTACTGAGTCAAAACTTAACTTTATGAACCAAGTCTTCTGAGCAAATAGTCATATGAAATGATCACCTTCCCAGTATATTATTTTTTCATCCACCAGTAAGGATGGAATTATCATTAAAAAGGAATTTATCATTCTTTCATCTGAATTCTTAAGATTTTTCATTGCCTAAGACCTATATATTATTTGTTCTCTCAATATATAATATTTTATTTCCATAAGTTATAGTTTGGAGTTTTTCATGATCTAAGGTGATTTTCCCATGAATTAGAAGTGTAGTCAGAGGGGAAAATGTTCCATGATCAAACTTGGGAAATTTTGCATTTCCAAAGTTGTTCAATTTCCAAGTTGGTAATTCAAAATGAACATTAGTAGTGTATTAAAGATATGGAAATTCTAGCCCAAAAAAATGAAAGAAAGAAAAAGGAAAACGAAACCTTTTTACTTAAGCCATTCAACTAACTTTCTATGAAGAAGGAGACTTTATGTATTATTCACCTTTTAATAACTAATGATAATTAAGGTTTACCTTGATACCAGCTTGGGAGGTATTGAACCCTAGTTGAAACAAATTAACTTTTCTTGCTTGAATTTTATGATTTTTAATTAACTGTATCCTTATATGAAACATTATTGAGTCCTAGATAAAGTGACCTGAAACATTTTCCTTTTACAAGAAAATCACCCAGTGAATTTGTTAGAGTACATACAATTTCTAGAAATCCTGAATCAGTAGTCCTGAGCAGGGCCTAGGAGTGCCCTGTGATGCTGTTATAATAGCTTACATACGTGTAGTGTTAAATTATATATTAATATTTATTTTAATGTATAATTTAACACTACAGAGTTTACCTATTGTATGTAAGTAAGTGATTCAGTGACTTTGGGAAATCCTTCTACTTGGACCACCATCTCTGCCGTCCAGTTTCACAACATATCCATTCTCCCAAAAGTTGAAGTCAATCCTAGTAGCTACCCCAATGACAATCACTAATTTTTTCCTGTAAATTTATTTTCCTGGGCATTTCAGTTACATAAAATTATACAATACTTGATTATTGACCCATCAACTGATAGACATGGATTTCTAATTTTGTCTGTTGTGAATAATGTGTCTATGAACATTCATGTATAAAAGGAATGGAAAAGAAAAAACAAGAAGGAAAAAATGAAAACAAAGCTTTTGTAAACAAGAGAAGAGTAGTTGAAGAGAGGGTAGAGGAATGGGGAAAAAAAGAATAACTGTATTTTTTGATTGTATATATACAATCAATATATATACAATATATATTTTGATCATGTACAAGTACAAATTCTTTATGATGAATGTGATCATTATATATTGAAAATGTACCAATAAACTTAATTAAGAAAAATCGTCCCTTTCCAAAAAAAAATTTTTACCATCTGTATGAATCTGTCTTTTCATTTCTTGTGGATGAATTACTTGGAGTGGAAGAGTGGGTTTTCTGTTCATTTTAATAAACTGTAAATTATTTTCCAAAGTGACTACACTATTTTCTAGTCCCATCAGCAATCTTCTTCAAAGAAATATCTGTTCAAGTTTTTAGCCAATTTTAAAAAATTTGGTTGTTTGTCTTGTTGAATTGTATGAATTCTTTATATATTTGGAAACAAGTCTTTTATCAATTATATGACTTAAAAATATTTTTTATCAGTGTGTGGCTTGTCTTTGAATTTTCCTACCTGAATCCTTTGAATATTACATTTTCCTGCTTGTATCTTGTGCGAAGAATGCATATTCTGTGGTTGTTGGATGAAGTATTCCATATATGTCAATAGGATTCATTAGTTTGATAGTGATGCTGTACTCAGTTTACTGATGTTGACAGCTGAGTCTGTAAATTACTCATAGAATGGGTTGAGGTCTCCAGACACAATAGTGAGTTTTTCTGTTTCTTTTTATTATTCTATCTGTTTTGTTTTGTTTTGTCTTTTTGAGACAGGGTTTGCTATGCAGTTTCAGGCTGGCCTTGAGCTCACTTTGTAACCCAGACTGGTTTTGAACTTGAAAGGATTCTCCTGCCTCAACCTCTAAGCGCTGGGATTGCAGGCATGTGCCATCGTGCCCCTTCTGTTCTATCAGTTTTTGCACTGTGTTATTGGGGACATACACATTATATTATAATGTCTTCTTGGATATTTAACCTCTTATTATTACACAATACCTTTCATGTTCCCAGATAATTCTTCTTGCACTGTAACATGCCTCACCAAAAACTAACATAGCTATTCTAGCTTTATTTTAATTAGTGTTTGCATAGTTTGTCTTTTTCTATTCTTTAACATTGAGTGAATTTTTTGTGAATAGCATGTAGTTGGGTCTTTATTTTTAATCCACCCTGATACTCTTTGTCTTTCATTGGTATATTTAGGCCATTAACATATAAGGTAATTATTGCTATAAGAAGTTTAATATCCTTTATTTTGAAGCTATTTTGTTTGCTGTTGTTATTCTTTTACTCTCTTTTTCTTATTCTTCTTTTTTTCCTTTCCTCTCTGAACCCTTCCTCTCTCACCTTTCACTATGTAAAATCTATCTCCTCTACAATATGTGGCCTCTGGTGACTGTGTAATTTATTTATTTATTTATTTTGTTTATTTACTGTCTGGTTTTCCCATTTTTATTGCAGGCACAGGGGAGGCAGCCTCCTCCCTGTCAGTGGGGTTGCTCATGTTTCCTTCAGTCACTCCACATTGGAGCCTGGAGTGACCTGGGGCTGGCTAGACACATCAGGGATGGTCTTGTCCTCGTGGAGAAGCACTGGTAGTTGTGCGTGCCCTGGGATGTTCTCGATGAAGGACTCAAGTGGGGATGGAATGACAAAGAAGTTCTCTAAGGCCGGCACCTGTCCTTGGCCCACACATTTTTAAATGAAGTGGCAAGTCTCACAGCCATTTTGGCCTCCTTATTTTTATTTTTAAGCAACACTAGGATTTAACCTTGAATTTTAAAAACTTAGTGTTCAACCCATAATTAGTTAGAAATGGTAGTCAACATTTTGACCCAGTATTTTCCACTCTCTGCTGATAGATATGTGCATGGGCTAGGAAGCGTATTCAAGTTTTTAACTAACCTCTTTCAAGTCTTCTTCACTTTTACTTTTCCCCAGCCTTTTATGTCAATTCTGTGCATGCAGAGAGCCTGTATCATCCAGGGATTTGTAGGTGACTTGGGCCCATTCTAATCTTGCTACATATGTAGACAGCCTCTGGCCAATTTAAGATACAGGAAGAATTTTTTGTGTACTCTTGCCCTATGACACTCTAACTTTCTCAAACTCCCTATAATATCCTGACTAATCTTCCAGTTCATTGTTCAAATGGTATTGCAACTTTGAGATAATGGAGCCATATACTGAGATAACCAGTTACCTTACGGGGTTCCCAATGGATGACTTTTCTCTGGCAGTGTTCTACACTGGCTGAGCTACAGGGTAGAAAAACAAAATTAGGGGAATGATGGATGCATCCCAGGCAAGAATGTGATAGACTTGTGCTATTTTACTCAGTGTTCAAAATTTTCAGAATAGGGGGAGGAGCAAAGATGGCAGATAGATAACAACTGGCTACAGAGGCTCCCTGAGACAGTCAACTTAGAATTCAACATAATACAGAGTGGGGAGCCCCAAACAAAGGGAGATGAATTCTCTCATCCCAAGAAGAAATTAAGGTGAGAAGAACCAAACATACAGTCCCGGTACTATTACTGGAATAGCTAAAGGTTCAAGGTTTCCTCCGCAGCAGGTGACTTGCCAACCATCCAAGATCCCGCCACAACTTGCCAAGGTCCTGCCGTGACTTGCTGAGCCATCCAAGGTCCTGCCACTTCAACTCACTGGAGGCACAGTTATATTGAGTTTGGGGGTCGGTGAGCTGAACGTAGAGCTGAGTTGGCAGGGTGCCTACATCGACCTGTGGTGAGTAACGGGAGTGGAGCCATTCCATAGAAAAGGGGGCTCTGGCAGACAACATTCTGGGACCAGGCAGGACTGACAAGTACAAGGGGCAGCAATGACTTCAGTCAGTTGTTCCCTTCCCAAACAGGATTGGTGGAGTGAGCTGGCTGAGACCCAATAGGTTATCTGAAATCAAGTCCCTACAGTAGTAGCGCACACTAGCCACACTGACCCAGTGAAGTCTCAGAAGTTTGACTCACCTGGAGGGGAGGCAGCACAAAGTAATACAGTGCAGGCCACAGCAGCTTGACTGACCCGGAGGGGAGAGGCCAGCGTACACTGTCCCTGTCTGCAACTCACTACCACACGGCAGTGGGAAGGGTCATCTAGCTGGCATGCTTCAGAAGAATTGTAACCAACAAAGAAAGAAACTAGGGCCTCCTGGAAGAAGCAAAAAAGATGGGAAGAAGAAGGAACAAAAGTCCCCAGGTCCCAACCCTGAGAACACTGACCCAGGACAGGTAAATACAAAGGAGAATGAGAACAGCAAACATGCAATATCAGACACAGCACCAGTGGACATAAAGAAATATCTTCAGGACCTCATAGATGAGTTCAAAGGTGAAATATTTAGCCAAGTAAAGCAGGATATAAGAAGATTAATAAAAGAGATATCCCTCAAACAGACACAGACTGAAAACGGGAGGAACTCAAACAAAGGAGAGAACCATTTGATGAAGAATATAAAAAAATATAGAATACATGAAGCAGATTCAAAGAGATTATCAGGAAATTAAAAACTCTGTGGAAAGATGGCAAATGTGCTTGAAAGAAACTAAGGATAGATTATCCAAACTTGAGGACAATTTTGCAATGTGGGAGTATGAAAGGAAAAACTTTTTTAAAATAACAAGGTAACAAGCAATAACAATACAAAGGCTAGAAGACGACAAGAGAATCTATAACTTGAGAATAAAGAATGTGAATGAAGAAGCATGGATACAAACAAAGAAACTACAAAGGCTATTCACAGAAATAATTAAGGAAAACTTCCCAAACATAGGAAAAGGAAATGATATTTTGATATGTGAGGCCTATAAAACTCCAGCCGCCTACAACCAAAACAGAGCTACACTCAGGCATATAATAATCAAGATCCCAGAAATTCAATATAAGAACAGAACATTAAAAGCTGTTAGAGACAAGAAACAGATAACCTATAAAGGAAGGCCCATCAGAATAACAGCAGACCTCTCAATACAAACCATTAAGTCAAGAAGAGCCTGGAGTGAAATATTCCAATCCCTGAACGAAAATAACCTCCAGCCCAGATTGATATACCCTGCTAAACTGTCTCTAGAAATTAATGGAGAAACAAGATGCTTCCAAGACAAAGAGGAACTTGGGAAAGTCGCAACCACCTATCCAACTCTACAGAGAATACTGCAGGGCATTCTAGAGAGACAGAAAAGTACTAGGATTCCAGGAACAGTGGCAGAGAGGCCTTAATAAATGGAGAAGAAAACAGAATGAAGAAGATAAACAGACAACTTAGGCAAAAAAGACAACTGATGGCAAAAAAGGAGCATAACAGAAATGAGGCAGAGAAGATTTTATTCAAAACTGATATGATTGATAGTATCAAGTCTGAGAGTATAGGCAACAACACTGAAGATGACAAGATTTTACGATACACATTCTGATTTGATAACTGATGGTTTTTGAAGTTCTATACTATACACAAAGTTGTGTTTTTATTAATACTGTTACGTACTGATATATCCAATTATACTATGTCTGATGATATAGCCAGTTCTATTGGAGATAACAAGAGGCAACACAGAACTCTTTGTACAATGATCTTATATTTTTTTTCATTTCATTTGTTTATAGGAATATGTTTTGTTTTGTCTTGCTTTTTTTTGTTTCCCCCTCTAATATATAAAGGATAGAAATACATGTTAAGACTCATGCATGTGTAGAATCTATAAACAGTTATGACAACTGATCTTATGACACATGATGAAATGAACAGATACTTGGAAGAAAAAGAGACACTAAAATACCCAATGCTGATCCCAGAAATAGTATTATTCTTTGTTCAGAGTGATATTAGCTTGCTTAGGTTTATTCAATCTCAAAATAATTGAAGATATGGATAACTGCATGTATGTTTAAGTGTATAGGGTTGGTAACCATATTTCTAAGTTTTTGTTGGGTAGCTGAACAGAACTGGTTGCAGTCTCACTGTTTGAATCCCCACTTTATATGCTTCACTTTAGTATCTTGAATAACTATTTGTAAGAAAACAATCTGTAATTATCAACTAGTGATTTCTTACTGTTTATTTTTTTCTTTGAAATTATGTATTATTTCTACCCATTTTCTGTTTTGTTTAGTCTTTCTTTAAATTAAATTTTAAAAAAAGACACTACAGTACCCAGTGCTGATCACAAGAGTATCATGATGTGAAATCCAACAATGCTATTATTCTTTGCTCAGAATGATTTAATTTGTTTTAACCTGCTTTAATTTGTTTAATCTCAACATAAATGAAGATATGGATAACTACATGTATGTTTAAGTGTATAGGATTGACAACCATGTCACTAAGTTTTTGTTGGACAGTTGAACAGAACTGTTTGCAGTCCCGCTGTTTGAATTCCCACTTTTCATGTTCCATTTTTGTATCTTGAATAACTATTTGTAAAACGACAATACGTAAACATCAACTAGTGATTTCTTACTGTTTATTTTTTTCTCTGAATGTATGTATTATTTCTACCTATTTTCTGTTTTGTTTAGTCTTTCTTTAAATAAAATTTTTAAAAAATTTTAAAAAGCAAAATTTTCAGAATAAATGCTTCTTAGCTTATTGTACCCTTTGGTTGATTTCCAGAGCTGGCAAAAGCTGCTTCTGACAGTTTTGTCCAGCTAGGCTGTGCATGTGTACCTGTGTGTGTGTGTGTGTGTGTGTGTGTGTGTGTGTGTGTGTGTGTAGAAACTTTATTGACCCACTTATTCTATCATGTAGAAACAAACGTCCGCTTTTACAGAGGATGCACGTATTCTGATGCATATTTTTCTGTTGATTGTATTTTGAGAAACATGGCCTAAAACTATGGTTACTAATCTGTATGTACATATATATATACATATATATGTACATTTATATAAAACATATAGTATTATGTAATATATATATTATATATATAGTTTCATTCATTTGTTTTAGTCTAATTCTGCTTGAAGTGGCAGTGAGGACCTTTTTTTAAAAGTATGCACCTAAGATCCTGCGTCCGTTTAAGGTATTAATGTTATATGGCACATGACAATGGACTTACAGATATAAAAAAGTTAAGAACAAATACAAGGGCAGTTCCAATGAGATGTCAGGTACGACCTGAGGCCAGTGCTCATTGTAAACCCGCAGGGGGCCTGCTCCACATTGTTCTTCATAGAAACACTGCTCCCTGCAGTTGTACTCTGGAGCACCTTTTATATAGGAAATGTTTGTGCTGTTTGTTGAGATTAAGACATATGATTCTTTCACAGTTAAAATAGGTTTGACATTTCCTCCCGTCTCCTGTTACAGAAGGTGAGTGAGTCACTGTCCATTTCTTTTTTTAATGGCAATAAAGTGAATATATCACCAAATATCATCATAACACTGTTAACAACTGTAATGACAAAATAATGTGTATGATCTTTGACACTGTACTTTACACCTTGATTTTTATGACACAGAAGAACAAGATTGTACCACTGGTAATGTGACTAGAAGCATGTTTTGAACATGCTGTCTATATCCAACCTTAAAGCTTTTCTATCTGAAGCTCTCTGTTTTCCAAGCTTATTTTTGCATTCACCTGATTAAAAATAATGTGTATAATACATCATGCATTTAAAAGAATGATAATATGTGGAAGTAATTGTACTTTAATGTATCTTTTATGCTTTACTTCTTCCAAAATTGAGTGACTGGCCAAGGACATTATGAAAGACATACAACGTGGTGACATTATGGTCCTGTGTGTGCTTAAAGTGGTTTACAAATTCTGTGCTAATCTCGAGAACACCTTAAGAACATCACCTGGAATTCAGATAGATGTGTCTCTATGAGGGTTGATTTCATCAGACTAAAGAGTTTTAAGGTAAATTGTTGAATGTTCCATTTTTATTGCATGATGTTTGGAATGAACAATGCCTTAGTCTAAGAGGACTAATAAACTGATTAAAATTACAAGTGTAATTTTTAAAAATTGAAATGAAAATGACAAAGTATTTTTTTTTTAATTTGCAAGATGCTAGAAACTGCCATAAGAATTCAAATACTGTTTTTTGGAGGAGGGAAATTAAACCTTTGTTTTTCACACATACTTAATGGAGTGGTTCATGTATTCTTTTAGGTGTTTGCTGGTGCTCAATCTCACAAATGACTGTGGTGGGTGTTGAGCAGTTCCAGTGAGCACCTCCGTGCTTGTATCCTGGAGATCCCTTGAGAGTGTGTCTGGCCCAGAGGGGAAATTTTGTCTCTACAGTCATGGCCTGGAGGTAAAGAACGGAAACCTGTAGGAACTGTGCAAGTGTGAGGAGGCCAGACCAGGCCTCCCAACAGAAGGCCTTTCCACCAGTTTATGATGGGCTTTTTGTGGCTACCACTGGATGGAAATGGTAGAGATTATCTCCAAAACCATCCTTTTAGTCTTCTCTTTTCCTGTCTCTGATGTTAACTTCTGTGATACTTTTTGATTCTGTGTATCTATTGGTTGAGGAACTCTTGGGAGTAAATCCACGACAATATTTTCATTGAGAAAATAATTTGATATATTTGAATTAATCAATCACTTTTTGAATTGACTTTCTAGTGATATATAACAAAATCACCACAAACTTAATGGCACAAACTAACATTTATCTTACAGTTTCTCTAGGTCAGAAATCTGGGTGGGGGTGGTTGGTTCTCTTCTCACAGTCTTACTAGGTTTAAATCAGATATGGTAGTTTGGGTTTTGATCAAGTGAGATTTGGGGTCTTTTTTCAAGATCTCTGATTATGTCAGAAATCAGTCCCCATTTCCTTCCTGCCTATAGGCTATAGACCTCTCTCTGCTCCCAGAAGATGCCCTCAGGTCTTTTCTTGTGAATGTTTCTGGTCCCAGTTTATCACATGGTTACAGTAGCTTTCGCCTCTTCAAGCCTCATGAGAAATCATGTGGGAGGGACCCAGCCCTCCTTTAAAGCTCAGATGATTAGGTCATGTTCACCCAGGATAATCCATCTTTTGATGAACTCGAAGTCAACCAACCAGTTACCTGTCTCGGGGGTGAATTCCTACCATCATACCAGCTTGCCTCCCACTCCCATGGCGAGGATCATTCAGGACGAGTGCACCAGAGATGCCACTCCTGAGAACCATCTCAGAATTCTGCCCTCCACACTCTTCAGAGGACCCTCCTTAGGTCCCCTCAGGTTTAGAGTAGTTGCAAATTAGTTCTCATTTCTTAAGATACTCTGTTTCTTGATATGCTCTCCAGCTGGCTTAAAATTGTTTTTTTGTTTTATTTTTGCAAGCACTTTACTCCTAGCTTAGGGTTTTCATCTTCTCTTGGAATTTTTTCTCTCCTTAGGTTCCCACCGTGCTGGATTAGGTAGCTGTGCTTCCTTCTTAGATCTGTAACATTCACTTAGCACTGATCCTCACTGTCCCTGATGAATTGCTCTTTAAAAAGTTTTAAGAAAGAAGGGAAACATTAAAGAAGAAGAAGAAGGAGGAGGAGGAGGAGGAGGAGGAGGAAGAGGAAGAGGAAGAAGAAGAAGAAGAAGAAGAAGAAGAAGAAGAAGAAGAAGAAGAAGAAGAAAATAGAAATAAAAATATTTAAGAATCTTTAAAAAATAAAAATCCAGTTTACTGAGACATAATTTATGTGCAATCACATTCATCCCTTTTATTGTAGAGTTCTATGTATTCAACAAATGTCTACAGTCAGGGAATCTCTACAGACCAGCTATAGAATAGTTTCCTACCACACACACAAAACCATCTTTGGGTCCTGTCAGTTAGCCTCACCTGTACACCCAGGCGCTGGCAGCACAGATGTTTTCTTTCCCTAGAGTTTTCTTTATCTGGAATGTCATAAAAATGAAACCATATCTTGCATCCTTAGCAAATCTGTAGCATAATGAACTTTAGGTTCATTCTCACCATGTATATCAGCAGTCTGTTTTTTATTGTTAAGTCCAGTACACGGGTATGGCACAGTTTTTTCATCCATTTGTCAGCCATTCGTTACTCCAGGCTGTAACTGTAGGGACATAGGGACAAAGTTTCCTCTCTGGGCCGGACACTCTCAGGGGATCTCCAGGACACAAGCACATGGGTGCTCACTGGACCTGCTCAATACCCACCACGCTCATTTGTGAGTATTCTGTTTATGAATAAAGCCACTATAAATGTTCATATCCAGGATTTTGTGGGTCCTTACATCTTTGTTTCCCTTAAATAATTATTAACCAAACTGGCTGATCATGTAAGTGTATATGTGATATCATCAGACTTTTCCAAAGAGATTGCATCATTTTACATTTCTACCAGCAGTGTGAGAATTCCAGTTACTTAGTATCAGTGAAATTTTTCTTTGAATTTCAGTTTCAAATTATTTACAAATAGTGTATAGAAATATCGCTGATTTTGTAGATGGAAACCTATGACTTTTCAAAACTCTTATTCAGATAGTTTTCTGTGGCTTTTCTATGAAGATAGTAATTTCTTCTGTGAATAGAGATGGTTTTATGTCTTCTTTTCTATGTAACAGACCTTTTACCTTGTACTGCCCTACTTCCCTAGAGAGGGCCTCCTGTTCATTCGTGGAGAAAACATCCTGGCCTCGTTCTCAGGTGGCCCTGTGCTGGCTGTTGGCTTGGAATGTGCTCTTCATCAGGTCAAGGAAGTTTCTTTTAGGTGTAGCCCACTAAGATTTTTAAAATTATGAATGAATACTATCAAATGCTATCTCTGGATCTGCAGATATGGTGAATTATATTGATCAATTTTTCCAATAGTAAACATCTTTCTAGGTAGTCTTTTCATGTATTACTCAATTCAGTTCAAAATTTTTTGAAAAAATTTCCTTTATGTTTATGAGAGTTACTAAACTGTAGTTTTCTTTTCTGGTATTGCCTTCTTCTGATCTGGTATCAGGATTATGTTGGTCTCATAAAGTAAGTTGGAAATATTTCTTTGACATCTCTTTTCCAGAAAAATTATATACAGATATCATCAGTTCTACACTGAATATTTGATAAAATTCACCAGTGAAATCAGCTTGGCCTGAAGTTTTCTTTTTTATTTGTTTGTTTCTTTGGTTGGTTGGTTGGTTTTGTCTCTTTGACACAGGGTCTCACTGTGCAGTTCAAGGCTGGCCTTGAGCTCACTTTGTCCAGGCTGGCCTCGAACTCACAACAATCCTTTTGCCTCAGCTTCCTGAGTCTGGGATTACAGGCTTGTGCCATCATACTGGGCTAATTTTCTTTGTTAGAAATTCTTTGATAAGTAACTCAATTCCTTTAATTGACATATTCTTTGACATCTCTCAAAGAATATGTCCATTTCATCTAAGTTTTCATATTTTGAGGAACATGAAGCTGCTTTTTTTTAATGTCTAGGGGTCTGTGGTGATATTCTCTTTTTTTATTTCTTATATTATTAAACTGTATTTCTGTCTTTTGTTTTTTCTTCTTCACCAATGTACCTAAAAGTTTGTCAGTTTTTTGTGTTGTTTATGGCTTCTGCAATTTCCTGTTGTTTTTCTGTTATCAGTTACATCAAATTATGCTTTTACCATTATGATGTTCTTCTTCCTGTTTGCTTTGGGGTTAACATCCTTTTATTTTCCTAATTTCCCAAAATGGAGTTTAGAACAGAGTGGAGGCCTCTCTTGTTCTCTAATACGAACATGTAATATAAATTTTTCTTTAAGTATATTTGTAGCTATATCTCATATATTTTGACATAATTATTTTCATTTAGTTCAAACTATTTTCTAACTTCTCTTGTGATTTCTCTCTTGATTCTTGTCATTTCATGTTGTTTAATTTAAAAATACTTAGAGGTTTGTTAGAAATTTTTGTATTATTTCTTGTTTAATTATGTTGCAGAACTTATTGTAAGACTGCAGTCCTTTTGAATTTGTCAAGGAGCATTATTATATAAGCCCAGAATATAGTCAGAAACTGACAGCATTATAACCCACGTTAAGTTAATCCATCCTACTCTTTAATTTCTCATACATTTTCATTGTCTATGTATCAAAGTAACTTTTTATTCTGCCAACACTTTCATCTCAAGGCAGGCTAGTGTGTACACATTGTGTTTATGTGACACTAATTCTCAACAAACATTTGCATTTCTAAAACTCCACTGACATCAGGCTCATTATTACTTTATCTAGATAGATACTTTCAAATCACCATGTTTTTTCCGGGACTAAAGAGGTGGGGATTCCTCCCCAGGGTCTTGAGTGAAAAAGAAGGCAGTGGTTGGCATTAAGATCCTCACATGTATCCAGTCTCGCCTGTCGTGTAACCTTAGCTTTTGTCTTTCGTCTTGTAGGAGCCAAAGATTATTGTAATGTTTCTTCCCTCTTTACCAAATATTTCTGCTCTTATCTGGCACCAAGGTGACACAAATCATCTCCTGAGTGATTACATCATGTAAAGACTGTCTGCTAGCACAGGCAAGCTGTTCCCTCTAATTAGATATTGTCAGAAATGGATAAGACACTGGGTATTATAAGGGGAGCTGGACCTGCTCACTTGCCTCTGAAGGCCTGTGGTGCTTCAGCATACCTCCAAGCCTGTTTATAGGCACAGTCTCAATATTGTTGTATCTGAGGAAAAGCAGTGGTCACTCAATTATGTCAACCCTTGTGGAAGTTTCAGTGGGAGATCAGGCTCTACACTCTTGTGAGTGATGGTGAAAGTGTGGTGTAGTTTCATTCCTTCCTGTTCTGTTGCCTAAAGATTCTTTTAAACTTTCTTTTTGAGAATAAAAAGATGAAAGTACATTTTTCCCAAAGGCTGTATTTCTCCTTGTCCCAGCCATCAGCACTCATAAGTCACCTAAGAGCTCTTTCTCAGAGAGATTCCAGTTGGCTGATTCCCTCACAGTTTACTAAGGACCCTTCCTCAAGGACAAATGGCTCCAAATGGCTCAGGCTTCCAGGCTTTTGACTTGTCTTTGTTGTTATATTATACTTGCTATAAGACATGAGCTGGATTTGCATGAATGATAGCAATCTAAAAAAGACTACTTAGAAATTAGTAAGACAGATGTCTTGGGCCCAAATAAAATTGGAAGTCAAATGAGTCTCTCACATAAAACTAATGTCCTCACCAATGCAAATCTTGGATGAAAAATCTGCTCTTTGGAGTTGGGACAGCCTTGGAAACTATCTTGTCTTTACAGACCTGAGCTGGTGTGAGAAAGTGAAAAACATCCTGGGTAATTTTCAAACACATGTTTATACCACATATAAGTTTGAAATTTTTAATTTACTTTTTCTGGAGTCTGAGAAGCCCTGTTTTGAGACTCTGCTATTAAAATTAGTGTCAGGCCATGACACCCCAACGATAAAAGCAAATCCAAAACCTATCTGCAGAGACAATCTCAATTTAGACAGAATTTCTATAATACAATAAAACCTCTATTTACCTAAGCTTACAAACCAAAATTACAGACACAGCTGGAAAATAATTGGCCATATGCAAATCAACTGACAAGGACCAGGGATATAGCTCAGTGGCACAGCACCTGCCTGGCAAGTGTGAGGTCCTGAGTTCGATTTCTGACACAGAAAAATTCACTGGCAAAAAGAAATAGAGATAGTTAAGTGAGTGATGTGAAAAAAATGTAAAATAATAGTGATTAGTACTACTGCATTTATTCTAGAGAATAACAGGACAAGAAAATGAAAACTTTTAGAATTGACAGAGTATTTACCAATGAAAAAGTAATTGAATGAATACAATAGTAAATCAATGCTCACAATAAATAGATTGAATAATAAATATAAGTTTGAACTGGAACACAAAGCTAAAAACTAGTAACTCCAAGATAGCACGTATAGAAATGACATAGAAGAAAGGTGAAAGACAGAAAAAGAACCAAAATATGTCACAGAGGAGTACCATCAGGACAAACTACAGAGAATAGAGGAGAGGCAGTCTGCTAGCTGAGAGTTCATAAAAGTGAGAAATACTCAGATTCCAGAAGTACTCTGTGATCTCACCTAGGCATGTCATGATAAAACTGGGAAACAAAACATCAGAGTCAAAGAGAAGGTTATAGAACAACTGGAGAGGAAAGAAAGATTACCTATAGAGGAATTCCTACTATCAACAGACTTCTCAAGCTCACCAACAGAAATCACAAGACATGAAGTATTGTCAGCAGAGTGAGAGAAAATAATCATTAGCCTGGATTTTCATTCCAGCGAATTTTTAACTCTCTTGAGGCTGCCAGATAAAGACAGTAATCATAGTCTAAAAGAATTTCCCAGTAACAGACACTGGTTAAAAGTACTCTGTAAAGAATTTATTTTATGAAGAAGGAAATTAAATACAAAATAATGAATTTGTGATACAAAGAAATCAAGCATGTAGGTAAGTAAAAAAAGTTTTCATTGGTTAAAATATTAGCTAATGAAATAACATTAATTGTGATGAATTTTTGTAATAAAGCAAGATAGAATTAAAATATCAACCTGTATTTGATTGTAAGTGGGATGAAATAGCATTTTAATGTCTTCTGTATTATTTAGGAGAAGCATATAAGCATGACTCACAAACTTTAAGTATACCTAATAACAATCTGTAAGCAACCACTGAAAGAATAGTAACGCCAGGTGTATTTCTAAGCCAATAGAATGAAAAGAAATAAAGAAAACTCAATACTTGGTTGATTCAATGGTAGACACAAAACGATCAGTAATTAGGTAACCTTATTATACTCGTTTCACAGAGACAGAAACTGAGACCTGAAATGTTAAGTAACATGCACAAGGTCAGTTAGTAAGGGATGGGTCTGGTATTCAAACCCAAATTTGACTCCAGAGCTCAAGATTGTGACCACTAAAATGTTAAAATTATACTTCTCCCAAGAGGACTATTATAATGAATTAGGCCAAAAGAAGACAAATAAGTGTCAGTCTCTCTCTCTCTCTCTCTCTCTCTCTCTCTGTCTCTCTAAGTACCTCTCTATCTCTCCATTATCTGTACATGTTTGCAGTTGCTCAGGCTGTGTTGGAATGTTGTCTCCCTGCCTGCCTTCCAGAGTACTAGCACTGCGGGCGTACGCCACCACACCTGAATTTTGACTCCTAAAATGTATTTACTACCAGCTTTCAGAATGTAAAATGAAGAAACAGCATAAAGGAAATACCGAATTGAACTTAAAGAAAATCTAGCATTGCTTAGGCAAGTTTACTTTGAAATTTCTAATTCTGCCATGCAAAATGTTTTTTTAAAAAGCAAAGCCAAAGCTCCTTTGTGTAATATTAATATCAACATTTTTGTTTTATAAATATCCATACGTTATATTAATGTACATTCTTTATACAAATGTAGTGTTACCTAGAGATACTTTTCAAGTTGTCTTTGCTTACGGAAAGCAGACACCGCCAGGCCAAATGGAAGAACCATGCAGAGGTAAGCATGCTGATTGTGACAGAGACGCCAGGTTTTAAGAGATCACTGGGACACAGGGCCGTGCTTCACTAACTGCGGCAGGCGGGGGCTGAGCCCAGAAGGAGAAAGAAAAGCAGCCTCAGGCGGCGTGGCTCGGAAAAAGGGCTCCCTCGGGCAGATCCAAGTTGAAGTCCGGTACAGAGATGTAACAGGCAGCTAGAAGGAAGGCAGCCCACAGCTGCAGAGCTCAAGAGCAGCCGGGGCAGCGTCGGCCTGCTGGTGCAGCAGGCATCAGTAACACGGATAAGACCTAACATTCACTCGGCATTACAGGCAGCAGCTCCAGGGGCTTTGTGTGTACTAACTCACTAAACCCTCCCAAGATGAGGGTGTGGAAGCCGGCCGCGTCCGCTGGGTTTCCCAAGACCCTGTAGCTAGGAGGTGGAGGAGGTCTGTCTGTCTGTCTGCCTCCTGACAAGGACTAAGCCAGGCACTCAGCGTCACCCTGGAGAGCGAGCGTCCCTGGGCCAGTGGACAGGCGAGGAGCAGAGGCCTGGTGCTCCAGGGGAGCCGGACGCGCCTCTGAGAAGGGACCCGGGACAGGCCACCGGCTCCGCGCTCAGGCCCGGGACAGCCGCCGGTGCAGAGCGCCGCTCGTGGGGGCCGGCGCTCGCCCTGCAGCCCGAGTTTGGATCCCAACAGCAGCGGGCTTCTCTCGGGCCACTCGGTGCAGCTGAGTCAGGAGGAGAGGCAGGCGCTGCGGGCCCTGGAGCGGTAGGGACTAACCGCAAGGACGCGCGTCCTGTGATGTTTATCACGTGTTTGCAGGCGCCTGTGTATCGGCATTTCCCGCAGTTACAATGTGAAAACATGCTGGCCTCACACACACGGAGTATGCACCTGACTTAAAAAAAAATGTTTTCATAAGTTAGACTGGTTTTAATCAACTTGTATAAGTGACATGGAATATGACACTTAGCATCGAAACCATTATAATCTTTATGAAATAGCATATCCTATATTTTATAAAATATATGGACTGTATGTGACAGAAGAGTTACCAGGAAATAATTGAAACTTGGAGTGAAAACCTTTTTAAACTCAGATATATATAATACAATAGCTTGGGGAAAGTAATCTCTTAAAATCTTTTGTGATCACTATATTAAGCTACTGGTTTAATGTCTTTATGCTTTATAGTATGCATTTCCTTTATGGCATGAGCATACCTTTTTTTTTTTTTTTTTTTAGTACTAAACCCAGAGCCTTGCACATACATGCTAGGCAAGCTCTCTACCTCTATATTACATCTCCAGCCCTGTCTATCGCTCTATCTCTCTATTTATCATAGTCTTGCTCAGTTGTCTAGGCTGGCCTCAAACTTGTGATCCTCTTGCTTTTGAGTAACTAAGATCATAGGTGTGCACCAGTGTGCCCACCTGAGCTTACCGTTGTGCTTCAGCACAGGGTCCTTGTTACCAGTTTAGATAGTTTCACCATATATTAAAATGCGTGGCATGGACAGCTTTTTAAGGACTAGAACTATTTAACTTTCTATTACATTGGAATTCATTTACAGTATAGTTTTTGGAAATATTTTTGTTTGCTTATTTGTCTAATATTTCTTTTTTTGTTGTTGTTATTTTTCATTTGTTTGTTTGTATTTGTCTTCTTGCCCTAGAGAACAGAAGTCAAATTCAGACAGACACTGACCAGCTAGAGAATACTGCAGTAAAAACAGGAGGACTGTCAGTGAGGAAGAGGATGCAGCAGCAGGTCGAGCCCACCCTCAAGCATGGATAGGAATGCCAGGCAGGACTGCCTTGAGGAGGGTTGGTCAGTGGCCTGGGACTGGCAGCTGGCGCAGAGCGAGCATCCTCTCACTAACAATGCCTTTCAGTGACGAGCAGCAGTGGACGTGTGAAGTGCAGAGGCCCCGAATCCCTCCTTCCCCTCATAGCTCTCGTGAGTCCTGCTCATGGCCTGGGCTGGGTTTTGGTGGCCCTGCAAACCACTGTGTGTGGAGATCTCTTTTAATTAGAGTGGAAGAAGGGAGCTCCTGGATGGAGCTCAGGCTGTTCTGACTAGTGTCCTGAAAAGGGCACACTTCCAAAGTAGCCCCACAGCCCAGCATTACAACAAAATGCAAAGTAAGCATTTGAAAAATGAGTGTTTCCTCATCCTTAAAGATCATTTCATAAGATGAAAGTGTATTTGAATGCATCCTTTATTCTGTGAACCTCTAATCTCAATTAATTACTTCATACCACAACCCAATGAGTTGGGGAACTCTATTTTAAGTGTTTTACAAATATTAACTTGTTAGTCATTTAAGAATGTAGTTGACACTCATGAATTAGTGTTTGTAAAACACAATAAAAGGGAACAGAAAAAAATTCGAAATATTATCCCCATTTTATGTGGTAGGAAAATGAGTCACAGAGAGCTTAAGAAACGTCACAGAGTTAAGAAAGAAGATCACAGAGATGAGAAGGAGGCTGAGATGCACAGCTAGGCAGGCCTACTGGAGACACGAAGGCCTGGCTGTCTCCCTTTCCTGCCTCCTAAAAGAAGGACCATCTCATGACCATGGTTCATGGGGGCAAGAATGCCATTTTTCTTAGATTTCCTTTTATCTTTTGTAAAATAATGAGACTGATTTTCAAAATCTACACACTCCCTGACCAGATTTGGATTTACATAATCTTTAAAGTGATGAAATGTCCATATTAAAATGTCAGGTTGCTCACCTGTATTTGATATGGATTCTCCATTAAAATGACATATAGGGGCTGGGGATTTAGCTCAGTGATGTAAGTACCTGCCTGACAAGCACAAGGTCATGAGTTCAATTCTCGATATCAAAATAATAATAATGATAATAATTGAAAATAAAGTGACATATATATCACATACACATCCTCAAATGATAAACTGCACATGAGAGGAGACAACAGGGCAAGACAAATGGGCCCAATAGCATGATAGTCAGACCCAAGCACCTGCCAAGAAGACACTGAAGAAGGGCAGCTAAGAAGTTAGGTGGGGTTTTGAGAGACTCATTACTCTGGTGGTGTCCTGCCCAGCAGACAGTGGGCTGTGTCATTGTGCAGACCTTTTGGACTCCCAGTGTCTGGCCCTACCTCTTCTGCTACCTACTCTCTTCCTTTCCCGCCTGGCCTCAGCTCCCTCTCCCACTACTGCAGGAAACTAAAGATTAATTTTTCAGAAAAAAAATGAATCAAATATTGCCAAAAGAATACACATCTGAGGCTAGGGAGAGTCTACTACACTGTGTGGGATCTGGGACCTTTGATACCCTTCCATAGCAGCCAAGCCTATTACCACCTGCAGTCCCTACCAGGGAGGATCTGAGATCTAACAGTGAGTGTGTTTTGAAGAACTGAGCAAGCCTAAAGAAGAGACTACTGCATACTGGACTGGGAATGCATTGAAAAGAACATTTCTCCCTTGGAAACCTGCTGGTGAGTCCATCTGTCATCAATCTCTGTCTCTTGGATACAGCTCTTCATAGGTTCACTGGGTGTGTCCCATTTAAATATGAAAAGACAAACAAGAAAAACCATCTCTAACATGAGAGATCAATCAAACAAAGCAGCAAAACGTGGAAAAGGAATGTCCTGGTGCTTATCTTCTTATGGTTCTAAGGACACTGTCACCATGCCAGGAGGTTACTTAAAGTCAGGATAACATCTTGCTAATATTGGTCTAACATTTCTTAAATGAAGATATCTTTCTATTATGAGTTATCTATATGTAAGTTTGTAAAAATTTAAATTAGATTTATTCAAATTAACAATAAGATTAACTGATTACTATGTGAAAGTGCTATTGTAAGTGTTTTACAAATATTAGCTTGTTAGTGATTTAAGAATGTTGTTGACACTCATGAATTAGTATTTGTAAAACACAATAAAAGGGAACAGAAAAAAAATTCCAAATATTATGTTTAAAATTCAAAAAGAAGTCTGTAGCAGAGGAGAAGATAAAAGATGAAAAGATTCTTGACAGCCGAAAACCCTCTCTACAGCAGTCTGTCTCCCCTCTGTGACAACCACCCCGACTCCCACCACTGGTCTCTCCCTTGCTGGAACCTTGCTCTGTCAGGCTTCTAGCACTAAACAAACGAGCGTTTGATGTTATAAAGGAAGACCTTCCCAGGAGGAATGGTCGGTCTGTCTGTTTGTCTTTCTATCTCTCTCTCTCTTATAGCAAGATGTTATTTTGTCCCTAAGTCCCCTGGGACTGTGGCAGTCTTCTTGAAGCTGTAAGAAGTCAAGGCTAAGGACTCAACTAGTAACATGGCAGAGAGGAAAGAGTAATAATGCCTGTGTCCTTGACAGCACCACTGGGCCAGTGGTTCGTCCACAGGGTCATGGGAAGACCTGAGGGTATGGCTTCTGGGTCATAAGTCTGAAGTTTGGGTGGAGGAGACAGCCTTGTCAGGAAAGAGGAAGTGATGCTGTTTGAGGTTCTGGGGAGCACAACATTATATAGTTCATTCCCTCCACAAATAGTTGTACTGTGTTTCAGGCCTGACTATAGGTGACAAGGAAACAACAGTGAACAATACCTATTCCTTACTATACTGCAGTCTGAATCTAAATAGAACAAACAGAAAATTGAAAATAACACAAGAAAGTATAAAATATGTCAAAAAGTGGAAAGCACGATGCAAGAAAATAAGCCTGGAGAAATCTAATGCACTGGATGGAGCTGGGGCAGTGATCAGGGAAAACAGCCTCTAAGTGGGGCCCATCTGAGGCAAAGATTTCAAGGACTCAAGAGACCAAACCTTGAGGGTAGAGGAAGTCAGCTACAGGAGGAGGAAATGGGCAGGCACTGTGGCCCTTAGAGGGAAATGTGCCCCACACATGTGAAGAAAAGCAAAAGCAGCCAGAGAAGAGCAAGTTATGCAAAACTAACAGAGATGACTAGAAAAGCAAAGGAGGAAAAACACTGTGGAGTGTGGCAGGCGATGGGTGGGCTCTGCCTTTTGCTCGGATGAGTGGGAAGGCCTTTTGAGCAGCAATGTAAGTATTCTTAGAGTGTAAGTATTCTTTGTACTTTACGGAATAAGTCTATCTGGTGTACTGAGAATAGAATGGAGGGACAAAGGTAGAAACAGACAGATGGTTAGAAAGCTATTATCATCATTTCACTGTGAGACAATGATAGGTCGAACCAGAACGCTTGCAGGAGAGTGGTGAGAAGTCTTTGGATTCCACATTTATCTGTGAGGCAAAGACAAACGAACCACCTAGATTTACTGATGAATTTGACAGTGGTGGACATTGACAGGACTCCAAAGTTTTGGGCCTGAACAAGAGTGTGAACTGAACTGTCAGTCACTGATATGCAGAAGACTGAAAAGATGAGGTTTGGAAGAAGAAACCAGGAATTTGGTTTTGGACAGTTTTTACTCTTCAGCATCCAAGATAAACAGGCTGTTGGCTCTCCTAGTAAGGAGTTCAGGGAAGAAGTTTAAGGTGGAGTTATTAGTTTAAAATTTGGCAAGAGAATTACAAGTTCGAGGCCAACCTGGGCAACTTAATCCTCTCCTCACTCACCAAAAATGTAAAAAGCTGGAGAAGTGTCTCAGTGCTTTCAATCCTTCAAGGTGGAGGGGCAATATATAGGTATTTAAAGTCATGTTAAAGAATGAGTCACTCGAAAAGTAAAAGTAGGTGGAGAAGAGCTTTAAGGACACCCCAAAATTTGGAAACTGGAAGAACAAGACAAAACTAGTATTGGAGTATGAAAAGGAACAGCTAGGGAATCATGTCCTGGAGCCCTGGGAACAGGGCTGTCAGCCACTGGATACAGCTCCACAGGTGGACCACCAGACTGAGCAGACTGCAAGCTGTAGGGTAGCACTGAGAAAAGGCTCAGAAAGCCACGATGTCTCAGCAGCATCAGCTAATCTAGGCAACCAGCCATAGGAAGTAGAGGGAAACACTGAAAGCGATTCCTTGCCTAGGAGGCGTGTGCAGTTCTGACTTTGCTTACAGGGTGATGGAAGCCTGCTGTGTGAATGGGGTATTGGAAGGAAATTTAAAAGCTCTGGTTTTCCCACTTACATGGAGCAGTTACACTCTTTGGAGCTTTTAATTATGTAGAAGCGTGTTAATAGAAGTTGAATGACACATTTCTCTGTCCGAATGTCAGAAACCTTTAAAAAGACAAGCATAATGAAAAGTAACATAGAATCTATAAGCATATAATTTAGAATAAAGATGTTTCTGGTAAAAATTCCAGTATATTCATTTCAGACACCAAGTTACTGAACCTTTCTGAATCTTAACTGTTCTCATCTATAAAGTAAGACTAATCATGTGTCTCATGAGGTTCTTTTTCACAAACAATAAATTGCATGGCATAAGGAAGAGTCTTAGTGCTGTTATCATCCAAATATGTGATCGATAAATAACTTCTATTATTACTATTATACCTTACATGGGCCTAAAGGGGAGGCTGTTGGCTTCGATGGTAAAGGTGAAGCAACTGTTGACATGAAACTGCTTGGAGAACAGACAAGCCAAAGCAGCAGTTTTCATAGTTTTTGAAAGGCATTTATCATGGCTTGGACCTTGTAAGAGGCAGAGCAGGTCTCTAGGCCATATTTTCTTGATATATTCCAAAATAAATTTCAGTGACTTCTCTTAAACTTTGCTCTTTAAACTAGACCGAAGCATGTAAAAGGTTAAAATAATAGTACGTCCCTGGGATTTGAGGGCAAAAGAATACCTTGCCTTCTCAGAAGGTTAGCAGGCCAAGAGATCTGTGTGCGTGAGGTCTGCATGGCTTCGGCTCAGCCTCACCCTGGGTATTTCCACTCCACTGCCCTGTGTCTACAAGGGTGTTAGTTTTATTCTCATTGATTCACGAAACAGACAGCAGATAACAAATACCTGCAAAATAATTTCCTGAGAGTACATTATGACTTTCTTTTTATTTTCATAGTAATTCAGACCAAACTGAAATATTTCTAGGGGAAACAGTCACATCCCTCCCTCTTGAATAAAATATTTAGAAATTTAGCAAATGGGTTCAACAGCTTAGAACAATGTTCTAAGCTGGTAACTATTATTAACTATTATTGGTAACTATTATTAACTTCTTTTTTTGTTTAAATACATGATTGAATCTTAATTCTGTGATTCTTAAAAAAACTCTAGCTTGAATTTTTGTATCTTTAGAGCAGGTGAGCCAAGATTCATAGGGCAGTGTGAGTTTTGGATTTCTGTTTTTATATTGCAGTTCATGGTCAATTTAGCAACATAAAAAAATTCAAGCAAAATAGATATTTCCCAGAAGTCAAGTAATTTCCCTTGAGGGAACATAAAATTTCATTCATCCCTGGATTTAAAAATCTTCTGGCCTTAATTAAAAATAATTATGGAAATCCTGTTTCTTCATGTGGGATTCAGGGAAAGATTTGTTTGTGCATCTTGAATCCACAGCTGCTTTATGCTTCCTGATCGTCCCATATGTGAGTCTAGTTTCTAAGTTAGACACAAATAGATTCTAAAGCTTGCTTTAAAATCATTGCCCCAAGTAGCCTTATCCTTATTACCATCTGGCCATATCACTTAAGTGAAAATGCATTCTAATAGGGATGCTGTACATCATTTATGCTGACTCAAAATAGTCTCATTTCTGCCAGAAATGACAATTCCCAAATACTCACCTCAGAGGTTTTACACTTGACTTGATTCTAACCTCTCTTTATTGTCATGATCATAGTGGAATTCCACTTAATAAATTATCTGAGCATAAAGAATTGTCAGGTTGGAACTGAAACAGTTTAAAATGTTTGGTGCCACAGCAATAAGCCTATCACCCATCAGACAGTCTTAGTACAATTAAAAATTGCATAATTAATCAGTTCGTGAAGCACACATGCAGTCAGTTGTCCAGAGCTTCGGACTAAGAGGAGCAGTAAGAACTCCAAGATAGGGCAACCTGCTTGGGATCCCTTCTGTCTTTCTTCAGACAGAAGCTTGCTTTCTCTCAATAAATGTATTCTGCTCTTAACCTCTGTTGTTCCTAAAATTCATTGTTCAATTTTAGAGAACATGAGCTCGTACCAGACATAGTAGGTCGGAAGCTTCATTCCTCTGTATCATTTGGAGGTCTTCCACCCAGATCACTGCACCGAGGTGAGAGTTTGATTTTGCTTCATAGACTCTGAATTGGGACTCATTTAGGTAACAAATTATTTGCTTCAAATTTTGCTTTGTCTTTGCCAGTTGTTTATAACTACTTGTGATAATTGCTTGCTATTTGCCCATTGTGTTTGATTGCCTAAACAGTTCCCATCCCCCTAGGGAAGAGTCACGGCTCCTTAAGAATGCCTGCTTTCTACATGACTCGCTTCCCCATTTGTCCCTAATGTTATCAACTTTACCTGAACTATCGATCTTATTGGCTAACTATAGTTATGTTCCACCTTATGCCCATCTGCCTTGTGAATTCCCAGTCTTCCCCCACCTTGAACCCGTGGTTTTACTCGATAAAAGTCCCTAAAAAAGATGGAGGCCTTCACAACCCACTCGGGACCCCTTTTGTCTCTCTTCAGACAGCAGCTTTCTATGTCTCAATAAATATATTCTACTCTTAAAAAAACAAGAAGAGCTCCAAATCATGCTGCCTTGTCACTTCGTTATTTGGCAGCACGGTACCCTCCTCTCTTAGCTAAGCCAACTTGGAATCTACAACGGGCAGCTAACTAGGCCTCCCTCTGTTTCACCAGGTCCTCTACTAGTAACTCTTCTTGGGAAAGTGGGCAGTGTGAGACAAGTGAATCTGCTCTCCATAAAAATAATTCCAAAGGCAATTGGGGCTCTTAGAATTTTTTCAAGCCATATTTGACATCACTCATACCTTATTTAATGAAAAAAGACTGTATCATATTCAATGTTAAAATACTGTAAATGGAATTTTCATTATTATAATAACTATGTGTAGCTTTCAATTTAGAAAAGGGAAGCCTTAACCTAGGTATGGTGGTGCACATCTACAGCAAGTAAGTTTGAGGCCAGCCTGGACTACATAGGAAGATATTGTGTTAAAAAAAAAATAAAAATAAAAAAGAGGGGCCCTTCAGAAGGTTCTGAGTGGAAAAGGGACATTATTTGGTGTCTGGTTTCAAAGGGTTGTTTGGGGTGCTGTGTTTAGGATAGAACAGAGCTGCACGAGCAGACCCGGAGAGGTTGCTGATGGGCCCAGAAGTGGGACCGATGGAGAAGTGTCAGATTCTGAATACATTGTAAGGTAAAACTGGGAGGAATGAATGGACAGTGAAAAAGAATGAAAGATATTGAGGATGACTTCAAATTTTGGGGCAAAGACACTAATTAGGAGAAAATACTTTTAGAGATAAGTGCCCAAAGTGTAACTCAACTCGCTTAGTTTATTTCAAAGCACCAACACTGCAATTCAATCTGAATACTGAGATGAGAGTTTAGAAAAAATAACCCATACGTTGCCATCTTTTGTCTTAAAAGGAAAACAAATATCACACATGCCATAGTTTTGCAACCTCTGCTCTAAGCCATGTACCTCCACACCTACAAAATGGGGGTCACAGTTCCTGATTCAGTGACTCTTTAGTTTGAAAAATTATGCATAATAACAATTCTTGTCAGTTTATCTAGCAACTATTTCCATTTTCGTTTAATGGAATCTAATGTTGGTTTTTATTTTGTAAAATACACTTTCATAGTGAAATAAGTGGGCTTAAATTATTTACTAGGCTTATATTTTTGTATACTGTATTAGATTTTATTAAAATGGATGAACCTATAGCCACACATTCCTGAAGAGAGAAGAATGCTTGCTGTCACAGTGACAGCCAGAAATTCTAGGTTTTTAGTTGATTTATATTCAACTAATATTGATGACAGTTTCAGTGATACTAAATGCTACTATGTCAGTAGCCTTTTGATTTGGAATCATTAACTGCACTATACACAGAATGAACTAAAAATTTATGTGTTGTTAGATGACTATTTCACGGTCACCCAAATTGTAAAATGAAAATGAAGCCTTAGGTTCCCTGGCTTTAAATGCACTATTCTTTCTTCATCTGTTATGGTTTGTGTCTAAATGTCCCCCTAAGGCTTTGGGGGGACATAGGGGTTTTTCTTTGGAGATGGTTGAATCTAGAGGTGTGACTGATTTACGGTGTAATGCTGAGATTAAGGGCAGGCTGGATCCATCCACTGACTGGATTGGCGCCAACCTAATCCCAGTAAACTGGACAAATATAAGAGACAGAAAGAGGCTTGTCTCTGTCAGCCTGTCTGTCTCCCTCCCTGCCTGCTTTTGCTGTCTTCGGTGTATCATGAATTGCTGTCCTCTGTGAAATGACCTTGTCTTGAAGCCAGCCAGTTATGGACTGAAACATTTACAAACTGTGAGCTAAGTAAACCTTTCCCTCATTAAGTGGATGTTGTGCATTTTGTCCTAGCAGTGAGAAAAGTAACCAAGACATCTTCCAAAGCCACCTTCTTCCTATAGTTTGTAAAACAGATACCCGTTGTGAAGACCGTGACTAGTTTTCATTTGCTGAATCCTCAACTCCCACTATCATTCAGCTTATCAGATAAGTTTAGGTATGGATTTCATCAGGTTAAGTCTGCACAGAAACAGCAATGTCAGGAAGGTCTGCCAGTGGTCCCTAAAGAGGTGTGCTTCTAAATTGACAATTGACTGGTACCATTTAAGTACTAAAGGCTTCATGGACTTGGATCAGGAAGTGAGATGAAACAAAGCATATTTTTTAACACTTCTTCTTATGGAAGAACCCTTGAAGTTTAAATCTAGTACCAGGTGTAGCACGTTAGTCTTTCAGTGTTCAAAGAAAGGGACTTTTTCTACCTCTCAACAAAGGTATGAGAATTAAGAAGAAATATATGTGCAGCATTTGAAAACTTACCCATTGAACTAACATTGTTAGGAAGTCTGGCATTAGTGGTTCTGCTAGATCTTGTGAATTTTAGGGGGAAATGACTTAAACTCAATGCTGGCCTTAAAAGGGACCGATAGTCTTGTAAGAGAAACTAGAGGGCAAGCAAATGAATCCTGAATTCTGTGACAATGGATAATGAATGTTTTTATAATAAAATGATAACTGTGTTCTAGATGCCTACTAAAACTGCATTCTCTTTCTAATGTTTGAGGTAGATTCCATTTTGTTTGGGTGCTGTGGATTGAGCTCAGAAAGTATGCATGCTGAACAGGCACTCTACCACTGAGCTATATCCCAGGAAGGTAGACATTCTTCTTCCCACCTAACATTTGATGTAACAAAGGCCCAGAAAACGTGTGTGCCTTGGTCAAGGTTGATCATCCCAGAATGGTAATTGATATTCAAAACAGCTGCCCTCATCTCCACATACTCACCAGAACCAGGATCTCCTGGGGGTTTTCTTGAAGCAACTAGAATAAAAGATCCTGTTTGGAGAAGGGGTGCCATGGTTAATTGAGTGGTGTGGTGGCGATTGTGTCAATTTGGCTACGAGGGCACTGGTGGCGCGCTCTTATGGGTGTGTCTGGGTAGGTGATGGAGGCGTCAGTTTGGGTGTCTTGTCTGATTCTCTGCTGTCCCCTGCTCCACTTCGCTGATTCCAGGAGCTAAGAGCTTTGCTGTGCCACACTTTTCCACCACGATGTCCCTGCCTTGGAGCCAGTGGATCCTGTACTAAATTCCCTGAAACTGTGTATTCAATGAAACCTCTCCTCCTTCAAGTGGTGGGTACTGGGGTCTGTGTCCCCAAAATGGGAAAGCTAATGTGAGGAGTTAACTCCAAATACACAGTCCCTGCTTCTATACTGGATCTCAGTGACCAAGGCTGAAGATGAAGTAGGTCTGGCATCTAATGAGGTCACAGTAGACCATGGAAGTTTCCAGCACTCAGCCCCTCAAGCCCTGGCTATGCCAGCTGTTAGAGGGAGAAAAAAATCTAGACATTCTGGTGCTTGATGATGTACCTCTTGTTACTTGAGACTGTGAAAACATGAAATTATGTAATGCTAATTAAAGTACAATGTGGCAGAACAGTTCCTTATAAAAGACTAAAAATATATTCAGTTAAATGCAGTGAAACAAAACTTGACTGGGATCTTCTGTGTTGCAGTGATGGGAGCAGAAAGCACCATGCAGCTCTGGGCTTCAGAGAATTTTGCTGTGAATGTAGCAATACTTGGTGAAACTACTATAAAAGGCCCTATTCAACATTCATTTTAAATGTCTTGGATCATATCCTAGAAAGTAATGTCTTCAAGTAAAATTTTCCCACATTTAATGTTCCAAACACTTGATTGCTAGAAAACTCTATTAAGAAATTTTACTGAAAAATCAAACTTTTAGGACAAAGGTCATGACATTTTGTTGCCTGGCTCCAGAATGAAATAATCTCTTATTCTGGGTTCTCTGTTTATACTGGGTTAGAATACTTCACTTTGAAATGAATTTGGTTGTAGTTTTAAAATAAAAAAGGACGTAAAGAAAACAGCCCCAAATATTTTTGTTGTTGTTAGACATTACTTTTGAAAGAATTTGATTTTTTTCAGTATTAATGGTAAAGCAATACTTAGAACTCGAGTAAAGGGTAATAATTCCAAAAAAATGATTATATTGCATTTCAGTAGAAATTCTACTTCTTACAACTCGCTCTATCTCAGTCTCAGTCTCTATTTCCTGAGTAATGTTCCATTTTTATACTTAGCTATGATATCTTATTTTTCTATAATATGTTCATATGACTTTTACTTTCAAGGAAGTCAAACATAAGCTGATTTACATCCTGAGTTGATACATCTGTCTGTCTACATTCCAAACAAATGGAGATCCAAGAAAAGGGCTAAGGCGTGCCGTCTCCGCCGCTGTGCTCTTAGGGCCCACGCCTTTCAAAACCAGAGCCTGCCATCTCAGGAGGGAGCGGCGCCCAGGCCTCCAGCAAGCTGTCCGTGATGTAGAACTCAAGAGACCAGACAGACCTCAGGAGGAACAGGAGGCTTGATTTGGTTTTAGGTGAACACCAGTTCAGCAGTTCAGTTCAGCAGTTCAGACTCTTGTCCAAAACACTGAGCCCCAAACAAAGAAAGGCCCCAGGTTCGTCTTGTTGCTGAGGATTGGCCTAGCAGCATGTTACTGGGAAGGCAAACAAAGCAAAGCGGTTGGCTGAAGTGTGAGACCAGTGACCATGGTCAGGTATAACAGGGTGTTAGGGGAACAGAGGTTATGAACATTATTCACAGAGTCACTGCTTCTATCTGTATCAGAACAAAGAACAACAGTTATAGGGAGGGGGATATTTGGGAAAACGCAGCGTTTTCTTTTCAGGTCCTGCTTCTGCTGTTCTCCTGAGGAAAATCTATGTGTGGGTTTTGTGACCATAAAGTTGTCCACGTGAAATGAGATCTTGTAGTAATTTACTTTTTATTTCCTTGATAAATTAAAATGTTTCAGTTAACCATCCCTTAGCAGAAATGCCAAAGACATTAAACAATTACAAACAGCATTCTGTATTCACTTCTGTGGGGTCTGTACTGTGCCCAGGTATCAAAGAAAATACTGTCTTTGTTCCACAGAGTAAGATACATTCACTCATTCATACAAGCCATTTGCAGACATAAGTATACCTTGTTTGTGTCTACGAATGTGTGTGTGTGTTCAGTAAGAATCCAAATCATATCACACTTCTTTAATTCTTAGTGTTTCTCTATATTCAGTCCATGAGGATGCTCTCAGATAGACAGACCTGCCCTCTCTCAGATTCATAGAGTGCTTGGCAGCATCAGTGCCATCTGAACCTCCCATTAAGTGTTTACACAAAGCATGGGGCCAGATGGGATCAACCTCCATTGATCTTTCGGAGCTGAGTGCTAACCACACTGAAGAAGGCAGGATGGGACCTGCCATGCAGCCAAGAGAAGATGGGGATATGCAAAAACAGCACCCCCAGCTGCATACCACACCAGGGACAGGAGGGAGCAGAGTCTTAAACGGACATGGCTTATGCATGGACAGCGAGAGAAAGCAAACCTGTCGAGAGGAGCCTGGTATGCAAAAAACGGTTGTCCCTGTCACTCTGGGTACAGAGGACAGGAGTCCACAGGAGGATGTTAAGCAAGGAATTGGTACAATCTGTTTGCATCATAGAAACTCTTCTGAGACGCAGAAGAGTCTAAAGATGGGAAAGTCTTTTTGGAGTCTGTTGCAGTAGTCGGGGTCATCTGAACTAAGGCCAAGATGGAGGAACGGCAGACACATGCAGTGGGCTTACTTTGGGACACTGTGGAAACACAATGAAGCCAGATGGGAAGATCATTTAATTTTAATTTTAGGAACATCATTTTTGGCTGCTAAGTGGGTATAAGTACACCACTTTAAAAATTAAAAACAGGATGAAATGAGACACTTGCACTCTTACACTCTTCAGATCTCTTTGGTTTTGGAGAGTTTGTTTTTGTTTTTGCTTTTGTCTTGTCTATTTGAAACAAGGTCTCAGGCTGGGCTTGAACTTACTATGGAGCCCAAGCTGGCTGTGAACTTTACAACAATCTTCCTGCCTCAACCTCTGAAGCACTAGGATTACAGGTATGCTACCATATCTGACTCCTTAAGATCTCCTATTAAGGGGCTGGGGATTTAGCTCAGCGGCATAAGCACCTGCCTTGCAAGCAGGCGGTCGTGAGTTCGATCCCCGGTACCGATAAAAATGAAAAAGACAAAAAAAAAAAAGATCTCCTGTTAAATGTCACCTTATCAGAGATTATCTGAGGTAGTATCTTACATCTTTTCTTTCTCTAATACTGTTATTATTTTCTTGATAGGATTGATCACCATATGTAATCATTTATGTATGTATTGCCTCTCTTCATTAAAATACAAGGTCCAGGCCAGGGATTTCGCTCAGCAGCGTAAGTGTCTGCCTGGCAAACACTAGGTCATGAGTTTGATCCCTGGTACAAAAAAAAAAAAAAAAAGAAAAGAAAAGAAAATACAAGGTCCAGGAAAATACTTAGTTTTGTTCAATGTCCCCAGAACTTAAAAGAGTGTCCAGTGCATAGTAGTATATTACAAATACTTTTATCTGAATGACTAATATAAAATGACAGGTACATGAGTCCTGTCATCCTATCTGTCCATCTATCTATCACCTCTGTGTATCTACCTATCCATCCATCTGCCTGATCAAAGGAGTTACAGTAGTAGTGATAACGTTACTAAGACTAATAGTAGTTGATTTACTACTAACTATTCAAGTCTACAGCAATACCACCCTGAACGCAACTGGTTTCATCTAACTATTCAAACACCATGTAAATGACTTTTCTTTCTTTCTTTTTTGTAAATGACTTTTATAGCTTTCTTATTTTGTCAGAATGTTATGAGATAAACAGTCAATATTACTAATTCTTTTAGGTGATTAAATTAATAGGTAACAACATAGTTGATGAAAGGAAGAGAAGAAATATTTATGACTCATGGTTTCTGGCAGAGGCATTTAATAGATGGATGAGCCATTACTGAGATAAGGAGCACAAAAGAAAGAAACCATCCAGCAGGAAAAGATAGCAGATACTTTTGTGCATACTGAGCTGGAAGGATCATTGGATAACTATGGAGATTTCTAGCACGTCATTAGGAGCGTGAACCTTGGCACTGCAGGGACATCTTGGCAAGAGATAAAAATAATGAGTCACTTGCATGCAGGTAGAAACTGATACTGTGGAGGCTACTGACTATGAAATCGAGGTGAAGCAGAGGAGACTTCAATTATTTCCACAGAAGGTTGTGGGGGCTAAGGATGAGGAGCCCCTATATTAGGGAAACAATCAAGGAAGAGTGGCCTCTGTAAACCAGCCTAGTCTTTTGTGGGTACTTCTAGGATAGATGGAGATCCCTGAAGTTCATGTGTTGTTAGGAAGATTCTTGAAGAGAAGTGTGTGAACCAGGAAGCCAGAGAAAGATGATCCAAGAGGCAGCAAAGAAGCTGACCATTTCCCTGGACCTGAAGGTCCTGGTCCTCTGCGCAGCTGATTGACTCACCCCCCTGACTCTATAAAAAAAAAAAGTGAGTATTTCTTGTATTCTAGCTTTTGTTAAATTCAGAAATGTTAAGGAAAATTTCTAGATAGATAGGTAGATAGATAGATGATAGTCTGTGATTTCAGATGAAAAACAGCAGTACTGGTAGAAATCTGCCCCCCACATTAGAGTACTAAGCAAGCCCCTCTCTTCCCATCAGATAGATTTTATTGACATGAAATGTATTTCCATTACATTTCAAAACTTTACAGCTTAATTAATCCAAAGAAAGAGTAAATTTCAGTTTACAATATAGAAGAACTAGAATAAGGCCAACAAAGGTTAGGATGGTACATTTTCTTCAGGAATATTTTTCAAAGGAGGCCACCCACAGAACACAGTGCCAAGACGTGGAACCAGCGTGAGCGTGTGTCAAAGCAGGCAAATCAGCCTCTACTATTGATTCTCCCAGAGGCAGCCATGTGGTGTCTCCAGGCTTCAGTGCTCTTCTAAAACTCCTTTTTCTATGAATATTATAGCAAGGTTGCACTAAAGTAGAAGTTCCTTAAAACTCCTATATTGTTCCTCTTATTTGCATTAAAAAAATACTTTTATGTTAATGTGTAACATGCATGCAGGAAAGTGCCCAAATCATACGTACTGCAAAATGAATTTTTTCACCAAGTAAACAAAGTTGTGTTGTCATTATTTCCAGTTAACAACAAATAGATTATCAACTTTTTGCTCTATTAGTCTTCAGTTTACAGGGATGTTCAATAAATAACTTCCTTAAGCCCTGAGAATGATCCATCCCTTTTTTCCATAGCAATCTTTGTCTTATTATTCCATTCATAGGGAGAATTTTGGCTGAATAACTTATTTGACCTTCTATGATTTTCAAATCATAGATATGCATTGCAAGAAGAATTGAGCAGATATCTTAGTCAGCAATTGTGTTAGTATACCAAGACAATGAAGGAGAAAGCAGGTTGAGCACTCTTGATAGAGTACATTGTGCTTGCTGTTGGTCGTAAGCCCTGATGAGGGTACTGGAACTGGAACCCAGGGCTTTCATACTGAGCTACATCCTCAGCCATTTTTATTTTTATTTTGAACCTAGATCTTGCTTAGTTACCCAGGCTAGGCTCAAACTTTCAGCACCCCATCTCAGCCTCCCATAGTGCTGGGTGTGCAGGCATATGCCATGATGCCACGTTGGCCTGATTCTTGTTCATTATGTGGTGAGAGAACAAAGCTGTCCATACCTCAGTGTCTTCATCTTTGATCAATGTGCAAAGGAAAATGTTCAAGTCACCATTCTCTGAGTATCTCCAATATCTCTTTTCCTAAAATAGTTTACACTAGATTGAAATTTCTGAAGTCTGGATTCTAGACTTGGTTTGATGTGACTCACCAAACAAGAAAGGCTGAGGCAGAAGCTGACAAGATCGCTCATCTGTAAAGAACAGAACTGAACAATTGCTAGCATTCATTCCTGCTCTAAGGTTCTAGCAACACACTTTTTCAGGATGACACACTGGAGCAGATAAAAATAAACCAGGAGCCCACAACAGTGAGCTATTGGCATTAGTCCACAACTCTACAGCCTGGCCAATCAGGCCAGGCAGAGATTAACGCTTAACTAGAATGTGAACTGTTGCTTCCCAAAAGAGCAATTTAAAGATTAAAGTGTAGGGACCGGGGGAATCCAGGGAGATCTGGTCCTCACCATTCCGATACAGGATGGCTTTGATGAGTAATCCACCCACCACTCCAAGCTATGGGCCCTTCTGTCTCAGTCCTTTGCTTCAACAGCGTTTCCAATGCCCATAGCACCATCAGCTGTGCTACAGGAACTTGTAACCAGAACACAGCCCTCTACTCCGCTCCTGACCGCCCGCTCCATCATAGATACATGGGGTGGAAAATGCAGTGAGACTCCTGATGAAGTTCCAGGGCTTGAGTCCTCATGAGTGGGTACGCGTGGCAAGTCATCCTGCCTTTAAACCATCTGTCAGGAGCTGGCTATCCACACATGCTCCAAAAAAGAAATTAACCGCAAATGCAGAAGAATTAAAGACAACAATAAGAGATTCTTGGTGTGACTAGAATAGCAGGTGAAAGATTAGAAATGAAGTCCTGCTGTTTCCGTATTAAAAAAAATTACATGTTCTTATATAGTGCGACAGAGCCCTAGTAGCCTTTTTAACGGCAACTTTCTATCTGTAATTTCTATTATTATCGCAAGATTACAGCACATTCATGTGCTCCTGCCTGGTGACTCCCCTTACTCTCCTAATTACTGACATTCTGCCAACAAAGAAACACCCACTTAGCTTTTCTCCTTTTTTCTTACTGACTTGATTTTACCCTGCTCAAGCAATCAAGAAGCAAAACATAAGAGCCTCACATGGCCACCTACCTGAGTGATAGAAGGATTTGAATTGTGGCCTTGTGGTACACAAAGAGCCAAGATAAAATTCAGAAAGGAGCCAACATAAAATTCTCTGTCAAACTGCATGATGATCTCTGAGGCATTTGATTCTGAAAGATTTACATCCCCAGTACTAGACTTTGATTTCTGAGTTGTAATTACTTTGTACTTTGAAAATTAAAGGTTCTCTGTTCAGATCGAAAATTTAATCTAATTTCAGACACATTAGTGAAAGCTCGCCCTGAGAAAGCCTCTTTCCTTAGGGACATGGATAGGAAACAGGATTGTCTCTTTTTAAATACAATTTTTACCCATAGATTTTATTTACATAAAATGCTCATCCAAAATCACTGTAAAAAGCACTAATCTAACTACTTTTTTTAATTCTAAAAATAAACATGTAAAAAATCTAGCAACTAAAATCCACAACGCCTAGCTTCTAAGTAGTGGGATGTAGATCTGTTGATTCTGGTTGTCAGAGTCTTCTTTTATTCAGTGAGTAAATTTGATGAGAATTTTTTTTTAAATAAAAAGCTATGTATACTAAAGAGTATTGTTTTCTACCAGATTATCCTTTCCTAAAGTTAATTCGTGCTTCCCCCTTCTCTCTATCTCGACTCCAGAGTCTAAGAGGGTTTGAACTTTTGCCTTTTTGTTATTTCTGGAGGGAGAAGGCAGCATTATGGGGGAAAACATCAGATACAAAAATCTCCAGTTTCCTGAGATGATATCAATGATCAGGCACGCAGTCACAGCCTCAGAATTTTTGGCCTTTTGATTTCCACACTCTTGAGTCTAAACACAAAGCAGAGTAAAAACACACAGCGTGGGCAAAGTGGCTATGAGTTAGCATCAGCGTAGAGTTCAGATTCTCCCCCTCTCCCCAGAATTTGTTTAGGGTTTCACCAAAATCTGTATTTGCAAAAGAATTTCTAAGAGGTAAATAGTTCTCTCATCCAAATAATGTGAGAAACACTATTGAATACATAAGGCGATTTTAAAGAGGGAATTAGACTGCCCAGGGATTTAGGTAAACTGGAATTTTGCCTATTGATGAGCACTAAGTGACTAAAGTTACTTTTTAAAATTTTTTTTAAATTGTCACTAGCTGGAAATCCCCACACAGCTACTACTCTCTTCCTAGATAAAATCTAAGTCCATTTTTTTTTATCTGTTTTCTACCTAGCTCCCCAAACTCCCAGTATCAGTAGAGAAGAGTCATGCAAGCCCATGTCTGTATAATTAAGATGTAATCAAGAAAACCCATAAGCATTGGTATTATAGTTTCACTCAGAATACTTCCTGCAACGTTGCTGGCTATTCTCCAAATGAATTAGAGCCTTTTAGTGTGTGGGAACGAATAACTAGGGTACGTGCTTGAGTTATATTCTATTTTGTCTCTCTCTAAAGTATATGGTTCCAATAGGGCATCTCTAATGAAAGCATGATGCAGTCTACTTTCTGAATAGTTAGAAATCAGTATATCTCAAGGGATGCTCTACTAGGTTTCAATGGAGTGGTCAAACTGTCCTCCATAACCAGCTCTTGGATCCTAAGTTTTGTGGAGGATATATGTCTTTTGTCAGTACGGTAGCCCCTCATTCTGTCTGGCCCCCCCCATAAGTAGTGTGGTCATGCAATTAAACTCCAAGAGTTTAATTCCTATTCAGTTTATCCCAGAGTACTTCCCAACCATGTGGTCACAAAAGAATCCCTTTACTTGTAGTACCCTGACGACAAGACGTGGCCCACCACATGGAAAGTACTGAAAAATGCTGTTATCAACTGAAGTTGTGAAAGTCACAGATTGGCTCTGGGGACCCTGCTGTTCCTGCTGTGAACCTGACTGTTATTTCATACACTCCAGTACTTTCTCAGGGCTTCCAAATGCCCCTCTGACCAGAGAGGTTAAGGTAATTATCTATGTCAGTGCTTGGTTTTAAGTGCTCTGTTATAGCAACCTGATACTTTGTTCAGACTGCCATAAAAAAAAAAAAAAAAATGCGACAGGCTGAGTGCCTTATAAATGACAGAAATGTATGTCTCATCTGTCCTAAAGGCTGAAAGTGCAGGACTAAGGTACTGGCATGGTTGAGAATTTAAATAACTGCTCCTTATAGTCTCATGTAGTGGTAGTGGAAAGATGACCTGGTTCCTCATTCATAAAGGCACTAGCCGCACACCTTAATCACTTTCCAACAACCCCACTGTCTTACAGCACATTGCACAGTTAGGATTCCAGCATATGAATTTTGGGAAACACAACTATTCCATGTGTAATAATGCTTCACTCTAGATTGGCTAATCATTCGAGGTCACACAGACCTGGTGATAATGATAAATCTAAGAAATAAGTGTGTGATCCAAGCCAGACCAACAAATCTTTCTTGGAATTTGCTGCAATGAACTGGGAAGAAGAAACACTTTCCTCAGAGACTATGTGAGTTGAGTGATGGAGCAGAAGCAGAGACAAGAGGAAGAAAGAGCCGCAAGGCTGTCTGAGTCCCTGGGTCATGAGTGTGGCTGCCACTCATTACTTTGCATCCTGTCCCCAACCCTGGTCATTTAACCTTTCCTTTTAATCAGTCACCTTCCCATTTAAATTAGTTCAAATAGGCATCTTATCATACCTTTCTGAGAAAGTCCAGAGTTTGACACATATCCAAAAAAAAAAAACCTTATGTCACTTTAACAACTAGTAAAGCATGCCATTATATGCAAATATTTATAGGCTTTTCAAGTATTTCTCTACTTCCAAGCATGTAGATTGCTTACATCTTCTTCTACCACAAATACTGCTGTAATAAGCATCCTTTTTCCTAAACCGTTGTGTACATCTTTGGTTATATCACTAGGCCCATTTCTAAAACCAAGTTTACTTTGATTTTGCTGCATTCTCACCAGATTTCTCTACAAAGCAGTTGTTTGTAATGTACGTTTCCAACATCACTTTGTGAAAGTGTTCTCTCCTTTATGTTGTCACCACCTTCAGATATCACACTACTCTTTAATCTGTTTCTCAATTTTATAGGCAAAGAGCCAACATATTGTCTCTTTTTACTTGGTGCACTTCTTGGGAAACACAGATCATTCTTAAAAAGTCCTGGATTTCCATCAAGTTCTAGAATGTCACGCTAGTGACACTTTTATCATCCTACCAAAGGCCTCCATTGCTGACTGACTCACTCTGTCATGATGCTGACAGGATTTCCTGCCATCAGGAAAACATCAGAACGTCATATTGCCTAATTTTGATCCAAAATACCAACAGACTTCTTCTTCTCTCTCTCTCTCTCTCTCTCTCTCTCTCTCTCTCTCTCTCTCTCTCTCATGCATTCAGTATCTTGTCCTTTTGATTAGGGGCTGGAATGACTTGGAGTTCACAGAACACTTTTCAGAGCTCTTCCCTTTTTGGATGAATTTTCCTGCTAGACTACTCTGTGCCCACGATGGCAATGTGAATAACTTTCTGTCCTTCCCCTGGAGTGGTTTCAAATGGGGCACATTTGCTCTAATCTTTTCTCTCTCCTTCCACTAGGAACAAACTAAAACCAGCTCTCAGTGTCAGAAGCTCAGCTTAGTGAACCCTGGGACTTTGAAGAAGGCTCTGGACAGAGGTGACCTCTTGTATTTAAGAACTTCTGAGCACCCACGGCTGACCTTTGCCCACCCCGACCCTGTGATACTAGGCATTTCACCTGTACCTCTCAGCCCTTTGTTTTTTGCTTTGAGACACGATTTCACTAAGTCATTAAATTACCTACACTGGGCTAGAACTTGCAACCCTCCTGACTCAACCTCTCAGAGAGCAGATATTACAAGCATGCACCCCCATGCCTTGTTCTGAGCCCCTATTTTCCAATATCAAAAGCCCTTTCTGCACATATGCTGAGGATTTCACTTAGGCTGGGGCTGTGTCAGCATACGAAAAGAAAAAAGAAAAACTATTTTTTTATTTTTATATTAAATATATGCTGCATAACTTCTGGTGGCCTTAAAATTATTGTGTGAAAGAAATTTTAATATGCTAGGGTTTATAATAAAATCATTATTACTGTTGTAATGGATTAAAGTTTCATTGTCACATTAATTTTCATTGTTAACCCTATCACTATATATAAGTATAGATGTTCTGTGTATATATACTATATATAAGTATATATACATATATATACAGAGAGAGAGAGAGAGAGAGAGAGAGAGAGAGAGAGAGAGAGAAGGAGGAAGGGAGGGAGCGGGAGAGAGAGAGATGCAGCCCATCTCTATCCTTACTGGGCTTTTAGGCTTTGTTTCACTTCTCTCCCAGTCTCACACCACTTCTCTAAACTGGTAATAGGCCTCCTAATCACTGCCACCTGCAGCCTCTGACTCAAACATAGGAAACTAGAAGCTACTTTGTTCAGGCAAATAAGAAAATGTAGACATTTCCAGAAGAAAGACACAGAAACACAATGGCTTGTTTCTAATTTTTCAGCTTGATGCAAGGAATAATTCACCTACACCTCAGTTTTTGCATTTATGACGAGGGACTGACTCTTGGCTGAGGTGGATCAGCTCAGTGATTGCTGGATACTGACTGGAGTGAGGTCCATAAACCTCTCTGGACTCCAGGCCCGAGTCTTTTACCTGGGAACCACTGGGCTGGGAGTAGGAACCTACAGCTTGCGTGTTTGTATCCTTGAAATCTCTAGAATGTTCTCCTTCACTGCCCCCAGCATCTCCTCTTCTCACCCTGAATGTAGCCTGAGCTCCTCCTGCTCCTCACCCTCTCCTGGAGCCCAAGGACAGTGTGAGTAACTTCAGGTTCCTGCTGGCTCCCTGCAGCGGCGTTGGAGTGAGGCTCAGAAGAGTTCCTCTGTTCCAGACACACAGTATGCCCAAGGATTTGAACCGAAATCTGTGAGATCCAAAGCCACGATCCAAACCATCATACTTTGCAGCCTCCCAGTGGGCTGGTGCTTTTCAATATTCTTGGCCATGAAACTTTTTAAGCAACATCTTCCAGAAAACCACTAACTGCACCGTCCTTGGGTACAACCCGGCAGAACCTGGGTGTCTGTGGCCCCTCTGTGCTCTTGCAGAACCCTGGGCAGCACACAGTAGGGAAAGAACCCGCCTCACTATCCAGACTACACACGAGCACCCCAGCGCGAAACCCACCTGCGTCCAGTGTCCCTGGGTAGAGGGGTGGCAAGGGTGATGGCCACGTGCTCAGCACTCACAGTGACAGGGCCCCAAGAGGGACTCTGTGCCAATCGGGCTTCGCTTGCACCAGCCCACGGCCAGCAGAGTGACCCTATTTTAATCCTTCCTCCGAGGGCCTCAGAAATGCTATCGGGGCCAGAAGCTCTGGACTTCCTCTGTCTAGCCCTGCAGTGTTTCCTACAGACAAGATAAGGCAGGCTGCCACAGTGACTGTTTTGGGGGCGCTGACCACAGCAGCCTTACTATGATTAGTGTTCATTCCTATCATCTTCCTACATTCAGCCTAAAGGTCAAACGAGAGGATGTTTCTGTGCATCAAGCCCGGGTCTACATCCTGGTTCTATCAATTACTTAATTCAATTCCAGCACAGTACCCAGCACCATAAAGGTTAGGTTAGCTATTATTAATGATATTGTAAACTAATGCAACTTAATTTTTCTAGCTATTAACATATATGAGTATTTAATAAAACACATGCCCCTGAAAATTTCTTTTTTTTTTAATTTTGGATAGTTTCCTACTGAATCGTGTTTGAGTTTCGAGTGAATTTTCTTTCTCAAATGTATAATATTATGGAACACAGTTAATCTACACAAACTCTAATCACATAATATTGTAATCCCAAATGTCAAGTTCAGTCATCCAAGTATTGTAACCCTCTTTCTAGTTTCCTTCACAATCCAAAAAGTAATATTTGTAATCCCATTGAGATGTTATTGGAATCCCAGCAAGTTAATTTTAATCTACCACCACCAGTGCAACCCACAGGGAGAGTAAAGACACCAAGGCATATTCCAAGTTATGGCAGCCAAGGGGTCCTAAATCCGGTCCTCATGAGGACATGTGGACAGAGGCCTTGATCTTAGGCCTCTCCCAGAATTCATTATCTTGTGAAGAAGTAGGGTGGCTCAGGGATGAGTAACAGTGAGGATGGCAGGAATTACCAGTGAATAACTTGAGCTGGCTGGCCAGGTGCAGTAATGACATCTCTGTAAATTGCAGAGATAAAGATAAGCAGAAGGATCAATTTACATAATCCGATTAAGGTAGCAGTAAAATTGTTTTTGGAGGCTGTCGGCTTTGTTTTTTGATATGCAAACTCTTGTGTTCTGGGGAGTCAGCCTCTTTACCTTGAGACTTGTACCCAGCTGACATTCCCGGAGCTGTTGGCTCTAACTTCTCACATGCTTATATCCTGCACATATTCTGTATGCAGAGCACTATGCAAGGAAACAGGACTATCTGTTGGCTCTAGAGATTACATACTAAAACCTCAAATAGCCTTATTTACCATGCTTAGAGTCAATTGAAGAGAGAAGGAAATATCCTAGCCAGCCTTTTACATATCAGTATAAGGAAATGAGTCTCCAAATAATCAAAGTCATAGTAATTGTTTTGCATTCAAAGGGAGTCACTGGAGTTGTCTCCCACAATGTAATGTCTGTCTTTGTAAGGCACATCTGACTGAAAGAAAAATGGCAGTGCTGATGTATCAATGTCAGCTCCTTGGTTGTAGCAAAATGTGCTATAATACCATAAAGCCATAGGGAGAACTGGGTGAGTTATGGTAGACAGGAATTCTTTGCACTAACATTGAGATTTTTCCTACATCAAAAATTATGAAGTGTGATAAGAAAAAAAATGTTTTAAAGTATGGCATAGTTAAATTTAAAACTCATTACAGTAAAAGACTCATTGCCACCAACACCACTTCAAAATACTCACAGTTTTTCCAGTACCATTTATTAAAGAGCCTGTCTTTCCTTCAATGAAATTTGTTTTGGTCTCTTGGTCAAAGATAAGGTAGCTGAGTGTGTTTGGAGTTGTTTCTACATTTTATAACCTGTTCCATTGATCCTCAGGTCTGTTTTTGTTTTTGTTTTTGTTTTATCAGTACCATACTGTTTTCATCACAGTGGCTTCATAGTATAATTTTAAGTCAGGGATTGTGATGCCCTCTGCCGTGCCTTTTTTGCCTAGGATTTTTTTTTCTATTGTAGGTCTCTTCTGGCTCCAAATGAATTTTAAAAATATTTCCTATAGTTTTGTGAGGTACTCTAAAGGTATTTTGATTGGAACTTTATTAAATCCATATAACAATTTTAGGAATATGGCCATTTTTACCATGTTGATTTTCTTACTCATGAGCAATAGATATCTTTCACATTTTCTGATATCCTCTTCAGTCTCCTTTTTCAGAGTACTATAGTTTTCAATGTGGAGATCTTTTACTTCCCTTGTTAGATTGATTCCTAAGTATTTCATGTTTAGATGTTATTATGAAGGGTGTGGTTCCCTAATTTCTCTTTTGGTGAATTTGTTCTTTTTGTACAGGGATGATATTTGAGTTTTGACTTTATATACAACTACACAACTGGTTTTGGTTATTAAATCTAGAAGACTTTTGGCAGAGTTTTTAGGGCCTTCTATGTAGAATATCATGTCATCTGCAAGTAATGGTAATTTAATTTCTTTTTCTATCCTTATTGATTTTCTTTCTTTTTCTTTTCCAATTACTCTGGCTAATGTTTTCAGAACTATATTGAATAGGAGTGGTGAAGGTCGACATCCTTGGATAGTTCCTGACTTTAGAGTGAAAGCTTTCAGTTCTTGTCCAGGTATCACGACATTGGCTGACTCAATCAAGCTTCTCCCAACCCTGCCCTTGCCTCCCATGTTAAACAAAGGACCTTGGTGCTGATCAGCCAAGGAAAACAAATATTTGACAGTGGCTGGAGGAGAGAAGAGTTAAGCACCAGCAATACCTGGAGGCAAAAGTAATCCAGCCTGACTGCCCTGTTTCACAGCTGCTGGCCCTTTGCAGTCCACACTGAGGGACATGACTGACCCTCAGAGCACAAAGGTCTGCTCTGGAGCTTGGTAAATGTCAAATGAGGCACTATTCCCAGGGCAGTTTGCATTCCTCCTGTACAAACTAGAGGATAAAGCACTGATGGAGCCTCTTTCAGGGAGCTTTCCTTCCCCCTTAGAGAAGGCACAGCCCTGTTGAGCCAGACACAGCCATGGTCTCCCTTCTCCCACTCCTCCTCCGGGCTCCCACCAACACATGGGTACAGCGGTCTCATTTCCTGTGGTGTCCTGGGAGCTTCCTTTTCACTGTGATTACAAAAACATTTATTAGAGAATAATTTATTCCTCAGGCACATTAATGGAGTCCAGATTTTGCTTGGATAATATGGACGGACAGATGTGAGCTGTTTTGTGCTACTTTTAGATGAGCAATGCTGTTTACACTGAATTTTCCCAAGACCACCCAACTCATTTCACATGTATTCTTCAGTTTTCCAACCCCAGGCCTCCAGAGAAAAAGAAAAAATTTAATAACTCAGCGCCCCACCCAGTTCTGAAGACATGACTTAATACTGGAGGAATTTGCAAGCCTCCCCTGCCAATCAACATGCCTACATCAGATACACCATGTCTCCTTATTCTGAGAAAGCAAAGGTGGTGCTAGAAGCATTCTGCTCTCTGACCTTTTTATTTATTGTCCGTGTCTCATTAGATACTTGGAGAAGTTTGAGCAAAGACTATAAATCTAAAAATAATAAGAGATGAGATGCTCAGCATTGTGAACTTTTCCCACTTTTCTACCTTATGTATATTTTACATAAGCTGCCTTTTCCCTTTAGCTCTGTAGAAGGTCAAAAGATACTAGTAATTTTTTTACACATAGGAAGTTTGTTACATTTTTCATAGCAGTTTACATATATTGGTAATTTGCTTCTTACATTAACTTTAAGGAGCTGGTAAGACACTCTTGGTCTTTTGGAGCTGCTATAACAAAACACTGTGAACTGAGTGGTTTATCAACACCAAAAAATTTTCTTTTATTTTTTGAAATCCAGGATTCAAGGCATGTGCATATTCACATGGTGGGAGGGCAAGGCAGCACTGAAGGTCTCTTTCAGAAGCACGCTAATCCTAGTCATGAGGTTTCCATCCTCGTGACCACCTCACCAAGGCCCGTTTCCTGGTATCGTCCCCCTGGAGGACAGCTTTCTGTATGCGAATTTGAGTGGGAAGGGCACTAGGACACAAACTTTCAGGCCACAGCAGCAGGCGTGGTAAATGAGAAGTGGAGAGTCTTGGTTACCTTCTCATTGCTGGGGCAAAATACCTGATTCCACAAGTGAAAGCAGGAAAACTTAATTACCATACAGTTTGTAGAGGTTGGAGTCCATAGTCGGCTGGCTCCAAGGCAGAGTGGCAGGATGACAGAAGGGCACAGCAGAGGAGAAACAGTCTGTGACAGCAGGTGGAAGGAAGCAAATAGGGAGCCTTTCTTTCCCTTTTTATTCCAGCCAGGTTGCAAGCTTGTTGGTTGGTGCTACCCATACTCAGGGTGGGCCTTCCCATCATCCACACCCGAAACTATGCTAAACCAACCAGTGGACAAATCCAGTATCTAGCTCATGATCTAGCCCCCTTCCCCAAATACCACATGTGAGCACATGAGGCTTTGAGGGGCTATAAACCGTAATAGTAGCCCAGGGAGTTATTGGTAAATCAGTTGTTTTGCTGATCATAATAATTTATTTCTTTTTATATTATCCAAGTTAAACCAGAAACTAGTTTTAAGTTTGGTTAGTTTGAGTTTCATAGACATAGCACTGCATTGTTGATGTATATTAAATGTCACATTATTTTATAGTTTACCAAAATGTAAGGATATATGAGTGCCTTGGATGGAGAAAGGAATGTGGTGTGTGATGGAAAGGGGACCACACTTCGCCCGGTCCCTTTCATAGACTCTCTGATACTTATTCCCCCCCCCATCAGATGGGAACACTGATACCTAACCTTTGGAAGTGTTGTTTTAATTTAAATGATGGATATAAAATACCTCATCCAATAAGCCCTGCTTTATATTTATTGAATTGGATTTTTCCTTCTTATTATCAATGAAAAGGAAGAGGGTAGGCTTGGGAATGGATTAAATCGAAAGCCAGACCTGCTCTGTGTTAAGGAATCTGTAAGGACGGCAGATAGAAGGTCCCTGTCCTCTGGTTGCTTTCAGGACAGTCGAGGTGAGCAGGTGCACACAAAGGAACAAGGAATAACTAGTATAAGCAGGAAGCTACATGCACTGCATGACTTGGCACCGAGTGCAGAGGAAGCAGGTGGTGGGTGAATCCATTCTGGCTGACAGTTGTGGGGTGAATTTCAGGTGCTTGTTTACAATGAAGGAGACCTGAGCTTGGCATGGGTAGCATTGTGTGAGGCAAAGATGCGCCAGGCAGGTATTCTGGGCAGCAGAAGCAACCCCCACAGTGTGTGCAGTAAGATATGGGGTGTGCTCTTGGCTTAGCCAGCAAACTGGCATGGGTGGAGCACAGGCCATGGCTACGCTGAGGGTGGCCTGTGACCCTGCAGCACACCCATGGCCTGTGTAGACCCGTGGGGCCCCCTGATGCGCATAACCCTGATCTGTACGGGTGACGTGCTCATTAGGAAGCTCTGCAGGACAGGGAATGTAGTGGTCAGTCACTCAGGAAAGTGGAGCAGAACCAGCCCAAGGGAGGAGCTTCCAGTGGAAGCTTTGGAGCAAGCTGGGATGGCATTTGGGTTTAAACTTTTTCTTTAGTGACATCACATTCGAGTCATGGAAACTAGGCCAAGTTACTGCATGAGGTTCCTTAAATTGGGGTGATAACAGCACCTGTTACTTCATAGGGCTTTGGAAATAGACTTGTAGAGCACAGAAAAGCTGCTCAGAAGGCAGAGAGATTTCCCACGTACCCTCTGCCCTACCCATGCATAGCCTCCCCTATCCCCGCCTTCCAGCACCAGAGTAGTATGTTTGTTAAAGCAGGTGAGCCAGTGTGGCCTCGTTAGCGTCACCAGACCCACAGTTCACCTAATGACTCATCCTTGGGAGTGTACTTTTTAGAGGAGAACAATTATATAGTGTCACACATCTGCCATTATAGAATTATACTGAACATTTTCAATGACGAAAAATCCTCTTGCTTTGTGGATTCACCCATTTTATACCCCTAACCAGTGACAGCCACTGAGATTTTTCCTGTCTCCATAGTTTTGCCTTTTCCAGAATGTCATATGGTTGGAATCATACAATACATAACATTTTTAGATGGGCTCCTTTTACTTGGTAATATGCATTTAACTTTCCTTTATGTGTTTTCATGACTTGATAGCTGATTTCTTATTAGCACTGTCTGCATGTACCACTGTTTATTTTTCTAGCCACCTACTGAAGAACCTCTTGATTGCTTCTATATTTTAGTGTGTGTAAATAAAACTACTATAAACATCCATATACAGGTTTTTATGCAGACATAATTTTCAGGCACTTTGGGTAAATACCAAGGACCAAAATTTCTGACATTCATGTCTCATAGGTTTATGTTAGGATTCATGACAGTAATGTTCTCAGTATAGTACCTGGAACTTAGTAAATGGTCAGCTAATGATTTTGACAGTCAGGCTTGCTTCTAACATCTTTGTGGCCCAGGGCAACAGTAGATGCAGACCCACATATCATATGCTGAAATCTTTTCATTTTTAAAAATGTTGTAGATTTTCCCATGGCCAGGCTCCTGTTTCTACCTAGATCCTCTGACTTGGAGGCTAAGCTTAGAGCTGGGCTTCTCCCCTTGGGTCACTGAGAAGGAAGACACTTACCTCCTGATAGGGCAGGGTGTACCTCGGAGTCCAGGGGCACAGGGCGGAGATGGGGCCCACCTGATACTTGGATGGGATAGATGGGATTGAGCCCTTCAGAGCTCTGGGACACCTGCCTTCTTCTCCCTGTGCCTCTCTTTTCTGACTACAAAGACTCCAAGATTCTACCTCCTGAGCTGAGAGGCAAGAGAGAGCCCCACTGTGTGTAGCCCAGCCGGTTGGCATGTCTGTTCTAGGTGATTTAGGGTGACAAACTAGAAAAGTGCAGGCCCCCTTTGGTTTCCCCTAGGGTGGCAGTCTTTTCCCCTACCTGCCACAAAGTCAACTCTGCAAAGGGTGGAAAGACCCATTTCATCACATGTGTCCCTCTTGCACAACATCCATGTAATATTTGTGATGCAGAGACCTTCTCATCTAGGACTAAAAGTGGCTCTGCCCATTGCTATGACAAACTTGAGTTTCATTTTGTCAGGAGGGACATATCTACAGAAACAGCTGGAGCTGAGAGGTGGTACACAGAGATAACTTTTTGGACCCAGGGTGAAGTCAAGTGGTGATGAAGACAGAGCTAGCCTAAGGCCAAACAGTGGCCGTGTGTTCAGCCTGAGATCCACCTCTAGGTCTCCCCCTTGGTCCTTCCTTATCACTGACCCATTTTCTAGTGATCTGAAAACGAGTTTATGAAGCTGGTTTAAGACTTCATTATTGTTGCACAATAATGTTTGTTTCATTATTTTTCTGATTATAAGTTAATATTTAACTTACCTAGGTTATGCAGGGCAAAAATGTGTGAAGATCTTTTAAGAAACTTTTACCACTGGGATACAGCCATCTACATTTTAGAAAATAGACTTTAGAATTGGCATTCATGGACTGCTGGGGAAGAGAACAAGAAGCAAGCCCTCCCTGTGAGCTGGCTGCATACACGGGCTGCTGGTGAGAGATCCAGATAGCAGCCGCTGTCAGTGCTCTGGCTGGGGGACAAGAAGAGCCAAATCCTCCCCACCTCCTGCCACCCCACCATCCCCAGCCTGGTGGTAAGCAACAAGCTGATATGGAGAAACACAGGCTGTGATGATAGCTATTGAGGTAAAATATAACTTAATGCTTACAGTGTTTATTGTTTCACTGACTTTGCAGGACTAGAGCTGGTAGTCTGATCATCCATTCAGAGATAAATAATATGCAATGTAACTTTTATACAAAAGTCTCTCTGCTTTTTTATTTTTATTTATTTATTATTTTATTTATTTATTTTTTGAGCCAGGGTCTTGCTGTGTAGTCCAGGTTGGCCTTGAGCTCACTTTACAGTTCAGGTTGGCCTCAAACTTGTGGCAATTCTCCTGCCTCTGCTGGGATTATGGGCGTATCCCAACTTGCCTGGGTCAAGGCTCTTTGTTATTTTAGCTTTGAGACTTACTCCGAATCTGGCTTCCCGGCCCCTCAAAGCCAGGATTGCTAAGAGTACAGTATATGTTTCTCTGGTGGGGAAAGAAGTCTACTGGGGCCATTTGTGACCTGCAGGGGAGGAGAACAAGAAGCCAACAAGAAGCCAAGCCCTTCCTGCGAATCAACACCATGTGAGGGCCACTGAGGGGAGAACCAGACATCAGCACTTTCTGTCACATGGGCTGGGAGAGCAGAGGAACCAAGGTCCCCCCACTACCACCTCACACACGCCTGTAATTGACCAGCTGATCTGGAGAAACACAGGCTACATGGTAGCTATCAAGGTAAAATACAACTTAATGCTTGTAGTGTTTCATGCTTCACTGCCTTTTTAGGCCTGAAACTGGTAGTCTGATCATCTATTCAGAGATTAACAGTATGCAATGTAGCTCCCATAAGGAATGATCTTGTTTTGAAGTCCTTTATTGTGTTCACTGTTTTGTTTTTATTGGTTCTATTCTGTTCGTTTTTTACTATATCTGAGGTATGGACAGCTCTTCTGAAGACGACAAGAGACATTATGATAACCATTGTTGATTTCCTATTGTCTTGTTTTGAAATCCTGAATAACTTACAGGGTTGTTTTATTTTGATTGGCATTACTACATTTCATTTTTCTTGATTTTATTGTCTTTAAAATAAAAATCACCAGCTAGGCGTGGTGACACACACCTGTAATCCCAGCACTCAGGAGGCTGAGGCATGAGGATCATTGCACGTTCATGACCAGCCTGAACTGCATAGTGAGACCTTGTGTCAAAAAAAAGACAACAAATAAATAAAAATAAAAATTACCCCCCAAAAAGAAAATAGACTTCAGTGAAGTGTTTGGGCCATTCAGATGTGTCAAGAGGCTCAGTCTATGCACCGTGCCCCATTTAAAAACATAATTTAAATTAAGACAAGAAGTCTACACCAAGTTTCAAAACAGAAGGATATCCTGCAACAAAGTTACATACAAAATGTATGTAAAGCAAAGTGGCGGAATCTGTTTTTAAACTGAGTCTCCTCTTTCTTTGGGGTCTTTTGTACTGTATGTCTCCTCTGTTTTCTCTTTCTGGCTGACCCTGAACTTGTCCCAACAGCCTATAGAATTTGCCCGTCATTGAGGCCCTTTTATCCAAACCAGCATCTCTTCATGCCTCATGAAGAAAAGAACCTTTCTCTACTGTTAATTAACCAGTACTTCTTAGTTAACCAGTACTTTTCTTGTAGATGGGTGCAGTAAAATACCAATCATAATCATGTAACAGAAAGCAGTTTTGTCTTCAAAGAAAGTTACAACTTATTTGCAAAGTTAGGCACACCAAAGTCAGGAAATAAATCTAAAATGATAGTGCAATTTCCAATGAACTAAACTGTATATATATATATATATATATATATATATATATATATATTGTATGTATATATTTTTTTTACATAGACATATATTGTTAGTTTGTCTAAAATTGCTAGTTTGTTTTTAATTTTCAAATGAATTATTGATATTAAGATATCAACTCATATTTTTAGTGCTCAAAATTCACATAGCTGGGCCAGGGATATAGCTCAGTGGCACAGTGCCTGCTGGTAAGAGCCAGGTCCTGAGTTTAATTCCTGGGACAAAAAAATTCACAAAACTTTTTGTGTTTAAGTTTTAAAAGCTAGTGAGGCTAAGAACTGAGATAATGAAATGACAGCTATGAGAATAAGTAATTATAGTTGGGTCAAATCATTCAGATATAACATCATATTTTTATTAAGTTGATTGGTACAGTTTAGATATACATAATGATCAAATCATCATAGGAAATTTGCACATATACATGACATATCCTGGTTCCTCTTTTTTGTCAATTCCCTCTCCTCCCTTTAGCCCCTCTTCCTCTCCTCATTTACAAAGTTTTATTTCCATTTTATCTTCTTCTATCATTTTTTAAATTTTCCTTTCCTTTCCCCCTCCCTCCTTCCTAGTTCCCCTTTCTTTTGAACAATTTCTTCCTAACACAATATGTGTTATACACTTTGATCCTTATTTACCCTTTTGGTTTCTCACACCAAAGAAACAAAGTGATATGTACACATGCTTGTATTTATTTCACTTAAGAGCACGGGCTCAAGGTGTATCTATATATCTAGGAATGTCTCAAGTTTATTCTTCTTTATGACTGAGCAGTATTCCATTGTATTTTTTTAAACATCTATTTATTCTTCAGTTGATGAGCGTTTGGGTTGTTTCCAAGATTCAGATATTACAAATTGTGCTGCTATAGAGCCAGAGATATAGCTCAGTGGCACAGCACCTGCCTGGCAAGTGTGAGGTCATGAGTTCAATCCCCAGTATCAAAAACAAAAAACAAGTTCTGCTGTTGTAAACTTGGGGGCACATATGTCACTGTGGTATATTGTTCTTAATTTTTCCATGAAGACACTCAGCAGGGGAACTGTTGGGCCAAAGATAACTTTAGTTCTAGTTTTTTTAGGAATCTCCACACTGATCTCCACAGTGGTTGCACCAGTCTACACTCCCACCAACAGTGGAGAAGGTCCCCTTTTTCCCCCACAGCCCCTCCAACATTTGTTATTAGTTGATTTTTCCATAATTGCCATAGCAGAAGATCATATTGTTCAACTTCCCGTTCCCTCAAGTCACCCAAGTCAGCTTCATTTCTGTCCTCAGTTTGGCTTTACAGATATTCTCTCACATGCATTTGTTTGTAAACTTTGATTTTATTTATTTTTATTTCTCTGCCTCCTTTTGGGCAATGTGTTCTTTCAGGGGTCTGGAGAAAGAACTTAAAGCAAGAGAAAGCAAAGGCTACTGGCAAGCATTTTATGTCTAGAGTGGGCAGGGGGAGAGGTATTAAAAAGTGTGCTGTGCATGTTTACTCAGTCGCTTGAGATCAGCAAACATTGAATGCCACCAAGTGCCAGACGTTAAGTGTACAATTATAAGGGAAACGGCCTGCGGTGCTGGGAGAATGTTAATTCCCTTGGCCATTGCAACACTCGCCCAAATGTTCAAACAGGACTGGTTAACATTCTGATATGCTTAGAGAGTTACTGGGACGTAGGAGCCGTTGAATTCCAGGAGCTTCCTAGAAGAGAGGATACCTGGACTGAGTCTTGAAGAGAAAATAAGAAATACATGCAAAAAGATGTTGAGGTGTGGCGTGAGCATCCGTGAGCCAGGACCTCAGGAGAGGACAGTGTGTCATGTGCCTGGCACTCCCAGGGCCTCACACAGCCCACCACACCTACTGGCCGAGGTGACACTAGAAAAAGAGAATGGGTAACTCATGCTAGTTATCAGAATTTATGAGTATTGACTTTCCCATAAGTCCCTAGAGTGATATCCTAGTCGAGGTTTTATTGTAGACAAGTAGCATAAATTACCTTCAATTCCACTAAGCTAAAAGGGTGGGGCTTTAGGGAACAACTAGGGTATCTTATCCCCAAGGGAAAAATGCAGCCAGGCCGGAAAATATCAGACACTCAGTCACTCATCCTCACACTCAGCCTCAGACCTTCTACTCCCATCTTTTTTTTTTTTTTTTAATGTGGTGCTGAGGATCCAACTCAAGGTCTCCACTGAGCTACACCCTCAGCCCACCTGCTGCCATCTCACAGCAGCTTCAAGGTCCAGTCCACACTCTCCCAACTCTCCTTGGCTCCGTAGAATAAATAATTGGCATGAATCTGACAGAGGCTGCTAAATAGAGCAGTCGGTGAGAACTTGGTGTCCAGCTGGTTTCTGTCTATTGACGAAAACAGCACAGTGAGATGATGGGAAATTGTGCCCACCTAGTGTCCACTTAAATACCTCCGTCACCACAGTCTCGCAACGCGGAGATGAAAGAGGAACCCCAAAGAAACTCACAGATGAGCTGGTTTCAAACCAGGAGGCAGCCACAAGGCAGAGCAACTCCAGAAGAGTATCAGTTCTTCACTGAGTGCTTCCGGGGTGCAGTCAGCCGCCGCAAACCCAAACACAGAGCACATGGCTTTACATGTAGGCACAATGTGCTGAGTGAACCGAGCAAAGAGGAAGTCACACAGCCAGTGTTAGGAAAGGAAGCGGACATGCCTGTTCCTTAAGACCAAAAGAACATGGCAAGAAGTCAGCGCTTTACTTCCTGCACTGGTAATTATGACATGCCATGTAAGTCTCCAAGTGCCTAATGCATAAGAATTCATTCAGTCCTCTCACTAATCCCACGCGGTAGGAGCTATGAATCCATTCCTTTTATACGGAAGGAACCCGAAGTGCCACAAAGTGAAAGCACCTCCCCAAAGAGCTGGGAACAAGGGGGCTGTGAGTGGAACCCAGGCTGCCTGCCCTCTTGGGCTCCACGTCCTTTCCTCTGACACTCTGGTATGGCAAGGGTGAGTTTCTGTACAAAACCAACCTTGAAAGTGGAAAGATATTTAAATGAACAAAAAACCAAAAAGAAAATAAGCCCATGTTGAGGGGCAGGAAAAACATGAGCAAGATAGTTTTCCGTTTTACCCCACTGTGTTTGAGTCCCTCAGCCCCTCATCATTTTCCTTTGGATCCAGTAAACACAATAGAGGAAAGTGCAGCTGCTCTGGTTGAAGCAAGGCACAGTTACAAACAACACCACGGTGCAAGGGACAGACACGAACACCCCACTTTCTCTACGTGTTGCCTTCTGCCCTGCATATTGCCACCCAAGGTATCTTAAAGCAAGAGTCCTCAACTGGTACCCATCTCTGGCCTGCCAGGAAGCTAGCCACGCAGCAGGAGGCAAGGAGCGAAGCTTCATCTATATTCACAGCTACTCCCTACAGCTCACATCACATCACATCTGCCCTGGTCCATCGGCAGCATCACAGATCCCCAGAGAAGTCATGTGACCATGACTGTACATTCCGGGAGTTCTTATCCCAATGCCTGATGACATGAGGTAGAGCTGTGCATGCTGGGAAATGTAATTATTATATATCACAGACATGTATTGATTGAAAGAGGAAACTAAACATCCTCTGCCCAACCAGTCCCTGGTGCCAAAAAAGATGGGGAGCACTGGCTTCAAGGACTAAGAGAGGCCCAATTAAGAGTCATGTCCCATATCAACTACTGCTTGGAGAAGCTCATCTTTGGGGACAATGGAACCAATCCCCCTGTCATTATCTGGCTCGGTGGTAAATGTTCTGAGTTTTTGAAAAAAAAATAATAATTTGAAGCTATTTGTAACACTTTAATTAGAGGCTTTCCAGTTTGATCATTACAACTTCTCTAGTGATACTTTGGGCTTTGATCCTTTTGGTGCAGATTCACTGAGAGGAGGAAACAGGAAAAGAGAGGTGAAGTAAAGTCGAAGCGCCTGAGAAGGAGAGAATCCTGAGAATGCTGCGGCACACACAGATTTTGAAGCAAGTCTCTCTGACTTTGGAAATGAGTGACGCAGTGTGTGGTTGTTTTGTTTATTTATTTTCTTTAGTTTTCCCTCTCTGGTCCAGCAAGAGGACAGGATGTTCATAATAGTGACTGTTCCTCAGTTTGTTTGTTTTTTTCCAAAGCATTATCTAAGCAGTCCAAATTTCCTACGTAAGGAATGGCCTCGCCTTCCAGGCTCTTGGGGTGTGCTGTATGTAGTACCTGGAGATCAGGTCACCTAAACTAGCAGTTCCCAAAAGATTTCTTCCAAGGAAGGCCGAACTAAATGTCAGTGATTTCCTTTAATATTTACATGTATCCACACATCCTCTGCCATCAGCATTTCTACACATGCTGACCTCTAGCCTTTTCAGCTTTTGCGCTTCTTTCCTTCTTCATGTTACTCTCAAATATATATTCACTAGAAATGAGATGAGGGGGTACCGTCATAGTATGGAGCCAGGCAAGTCTAGTCTGGAACACATTGGGAAGGTCTCAGAACCTCTCACTGTCTTTTGGTTTCCTCATATGTAACTGGAGATTAAATGGTGTTTGATCTGCAGCCCAGTGAAACTGATAAATCAATTTAGTTTCAAGTGCTTTTAATTAGGATAATAAAAAGACAAAGAACCCCCCCCCAACTTATATGAGACCAGTAAAATCCACAGAGAAATCAAAAGAAAACTATGGCTCATAGTTACTTATGATTGATGAATGATACCAAATAAAATATTATCAAATCAAAGCCCATGGTGTTTATTTTTTGGTACCAGGTATCAAACTCACAACTTCATACTTGCCAGGCAGATGCTTGTGCTACTCAGCAAAATCCCCAGCCCTACCCTATGGTGTTTAAACAAACATAAATCCTATGAATATAGAATAATTTTGAACCGCCAGAAATAGATCACGGTTAAACACAACCATCTGGATACACACAGTTGACACCATTACCTCCTGAAACCCTGAAGAGATGAGAGTAAAGACAGACAGAGACAGACAGAACCTCTGTGGACTAGAGACACCATCCTTGCTTAGAAGGTAGCGCTGATTAGGAAAGGGCAATGCCCGAGCAGAAAAGAGAAAGTGCCTGTGTAACCACCTACAGGGGAAGTGTCAGGGGCGAGGGGTGGGTCTGTACCACAGGATTCCTGTACGGTTGGAGTCACCTGGCTATTAGAAGGTAGAGTAAGGACAGCATGGAACAGAAGCAGCAAGGTTGGTTGAAAACTTCCAAACAGGGGAACTGCACCTCTTCAATTCCCCTTTCCATTCTAGTGGTAGACAAAAGACTTAATTTTTGGTTTTTTTGATTTTTTTTTTTTTGTATTCACAATCTTAACTAATAATAGAACAAGCAGACATATAAACAACTCAAGTACTGCACTTGATATAACTGACACGCTCTGTCACAAAAATCAGAGTACATAGTCCATTAAATACATATGGAATATTTATATATAAAAAAAACAGACCCAGCAGAGTTGTGCATGGTGGTAATCCCAGCACTAAGGAGGCTGAGTTCAAAACCAGCCTAGACTACACAGTGGGTCTCTGTCACAAAACAGAACACAAGAGATAAAGCCAAGTGTGGTGGAGCTCACCTATAATCCTGCACTCAGGAGGCTAAGGCAGAAGGGTCACCATGTGTTTGAGGTCAGCCTAGGCTATGTACATAGTTCAAGGCCAGCCTGAGCTACCTAGTGAGGCTCTGTGTCAAAAACAAAAGCAACAAACAAAAACAAAATAAAGAAAAGGAAAGGAAAAAAATCCAGATTAAAAAAATATAGACCACCGATGTGAAGCAACTCTCAGCAGTTTTCAGGTGTTTGAAATCATTTAATATGTTCTCTGACTAGGAACAATTAAATTAGGAGTATCAGAAGGATACAGAAAATTCACAAACGTATTAATGCTAAACAATATAATTCTAAGCCACCTGTGATTTAAAGTAGAAATGACAATAAAAATTACAACATTTTGGATATAATGATAAAATATAACACATCAAAACTTGTGGGATCGTACACCAGTGTTCCTAACTGCAATGGTAGAAACAATCCAAATATCAGAAGATGAATGAGTAAACAAAAAATGGTACATACATGCAATAAACTGTTACACACTCTTAAGAAACAAAGGTGTCCGGACTCCAGAATGGTAGAGAAGAAGAGTGTCCATTTCCTCGGGGAGGAGGTGAGGAAGAAAACAAAGAAATTCATTGTATTTTCTAAGTGTGTTCATCAGCTTTCCGTCATTGTAGCAAATACCAATAACTGATTTATAAAGAGAAAGGGGTTTCACCCTCTCAGGATTTGGGAGGTTTCAGTTCGTAATTGATCGGCCCTCTTGTTTTGTCCCTGGTGAGGCAGCACAGCATGTCGGAAGCGAGTGGCAGAAGAAATCCAATCACCTTATGGCCAGGAAGTGAGAGAGAGAGAGAGACAGAGAGAGAGAGACAGAGAGAGAGAGAGAGAGAGAGAGAGAGAGAGAGAGAGAGAGAAAAAAGGACTTGGGGTCCCACTCTTCTGTTCAAGGTTTACACCCCCAGTGACCTGAAGACCTCCCCCAGGCCCTGCCTCCCAGTGAGTCCAGCACTCACCTCCCAGTAGCACCAAGCAGGGATCAACTAAACTTTAACCCATGCACCCTTGGGGAGTACTTACGGTCCAAATTGAGGCACTGAGTATCTGACTCATTGAGTGTTGACTGGGTGGCATGCTCAGTTCTACATGTTCCACATGTGTTTATTTGCTCTTCAAAACAACCTACCAGACAGGGGAAAAAATGTACAAAAGTACCCAGGACAATATTTAAAAAGAGCAAAGAAGTGAATACTTACACCCTACCAGATATTAAAACATATTAAAGAGTGACGATAATTATAACAGTATGATTTGAATATGCAAATATACGAAGTAAAGTATCATTTTCTATTTATTTTAATTGACTTGTTAGATTAATTAGTTTGATATGTTAAGCTAATTAATGTGAGAACTGACATGCTAGATTAGAAGAATATAGAAACCAACACATATGGGAATGAAAGACATGACAAAAATGATATTTCAAACTTGTAGAGAAAATAATAAGCAACTCAATAAGTGATGTTGAGATAATTGACTAGTTACATGCTTAGAAGATATGAATTCCAGATGGGTTAAGGACAAATCTAAAATTAAAACCATGTTTATAAGCCTGGACTAAGAAAGATCTTCATAAATAAGGACACTTGGCAGCACACACTGTGTGTCTTGGAGCACATTGCTTAGCTTCCTGATGTCTTTTGTTCTTGTTTTTAACAAACAATACTGGAGATAATCATTCGATAGGATGGGAATGACATTTACTCTGATCTGGCAGAGTATATAAATCTCACTGGTTACATTAAACTTTGGCTTAGTAGTTGTATTCAAGTCTCTATACCCCAGCCCCTGGGGATAATGAGATTTTATTTTTCCTGCCGCTAGTAACAACATTGTTGAGTCTAACACATGGATATTCTTCCCATGCTAAGTCCTTTATCTCAGCACCTCTAGAAATTATTTTTTAAAATGTTCTCCTTTGACATGTTGACAAGTTCTTAACCAGTGTCATGGCTGTTTGTGAATATGTGATTGTTTTCACCTGTAAAAAAAAAAAATTGAAAGCGCCTGGAGTGGCAGTGTTACAGGCAGCTGAGTTAGATACAAATATTATAGGCAGTCAGACAATGCTGGGCCTTCGAAGGAGCCAGTGCAGATATCTTGCAACTTGTGGGGGACAGACTCCTCCTCTGTGCCTTAGACCTCAACACTAAAGATAAACCAAACATACCCACATACTTCCTAATTATAAACTTCAGGGGCTGGTATTCTAAATAGGTCTTTACCACCCGTGAGGAAGCCAGGAGTCACTAACCCAATGCCCTACAGCCAAAGGTCCTGTTTCATATTCATGGCCCCTTGCTGCATGACGTGCCTTCCCATTTGTCCCTGATTTAATAAATTTTACCTGATCAATTAATCTTATTGGTAAATTATAGTTCTGTTCCACCTCATGCCCACCTTGTACATTCCCATTTTTTTTTCCACCTTGGACCCACCTCACCTTGGGGTTTTGCTCTATAAAATCCTCCGGAAAGACAGGGTCCTTGGCAACCCACTTGGGACCCTTTCTGTCTCTCTCACACAGATGCTTTCTCTCTCTCAATAAATATGTTCTGCTCTTAACCTCCATTGTTCCTAAAATTCGTTCTTTGATTTTGGAGAACACAAACTTGTTCCAGACATCTAGTAGGTTAGGAGTTTCTTTCCCCTATATCAGTAGTGCACACCTGTAATCTCATCGCTTGGGAGACTCAGGCAGGAGAATCACTGAGTTCAAGGCCAGCTGGGCTACATCATGAGTTCAGGACTAGCCTGGGCTATATAGTGAGACCTTATCTCAAAAACAGAACACAGCCAAGGGTCAGTGAGTCTGGATATTCCATATTTTTTCTTCTTTTGAGATCATCTCTCATAAGAAGATGGTTAGTTTCAGCAAGGGCAAGTAAACATACGTTAAGGTAGCCAGACATCGAGTACATTTGTAGAATCCCAGCACTCTGGGAAGCTGAGGCAGGAGGATCACAGGTTTGAGCGCAGCCTGGTCAACTTAGAAACTTACTGAGAACCTGTCTCAAAACAAGAAAATTAGAAAGCACTGGGGCTGTAGTTCAATGTAAAGGCCCTGGCTTCAATCCCTAATCTAGCAAAAACAAAACAAAAAATTTTTAATTAAGATGCTTTTTATTTCTTTCTGTTTGAAGCTAAAAAGACAAAAGGCATTTCATTAGCAAAACTGCCAAATTAGTGATTTGTCTACTTTTTCTCTTCCCACCTAACCAAACTAGTTCCCTGACAAAATGACTGTACATCTAGATGGAGAGTCTCAGTTGCAAGGAACAGAACCCACTTCAAATCAGTCTTAAGAGAATTCCTAGTTCAAGGCGGAACTGATGCGAGTTGCTGAGAAGTCTAGATTCCATGCAGCCTCCTTGGGCCAAGTTCCCTGGCCCAGTCTGGGGCAGTCCGAGCCTGCGGAGCCCTACGGAATAAACTGCCCCAGGAAGAGTCTCTCGGCCTCCTTGCCGGACGAGTGACAAGAGTGCTGAGCTGGCAACAGGAACAGCTGTCCCGCGGATTTCCTGGTTAGGACACAGCACATGTGGTGTCTGTACCGTCCTCTCCTCCCTGAGGTTATGTCCAGCCCAAGGCATTGCGACACTACATTCTTGCTTGGTCATGAAGCCAAAGGCCTGCGTCTATTTGCTTCAGTTCCTCTAAGTGCAGGGGTCCGTCCGTGGTGAGGCAGAAGACATGCGGTCAGTGCTTGGTTTCCTGCTTTGCCTCTCTGTGACTTCACTGTGATTTTCACTCTATAGCAATCCACTGTTTGTTTCTATGTTTATTTGTTTTGTGAGATTTTTAGATGGCTGGGGTAATGTGCAACATGCAACATTGTGAAAATGAGCGTTCATAAAGTTGAAGAAAATTTGAATTAAAGTCTTCATATATGGTTCTGGGTCTCACACTCCTGGAACTGCAGGACTATCCTGAGGCTTGACCATTTTCATGAGAAGTTCTAAGTGCAATAGGTCCTGATCCATGTTCTGGCATCACCTGAGGGCAAATGTCCTGTGGCAGGAAGCCCGGCCTTCATCTCCTGAGAATCCACTTGCTCTCCACTGCAGGCCTGTCACCAGGGCTGGCAAGCAGAGCTGACACCCATTACCTCCCTAACCCTCCACCTTCAAGAAGCTGAGGCCATGACTCTTCTCCAAGTCTGCCTGCGTCAGGGTAGGTTTTGGTGTTTCACTGCAAAGTTCTATTTACTTGTCCTCTCTCCGCCCCTTCATGCCCCTTCCTCACCACCGCCCTGCCAGTCATGAGAAAGCTTTGTCTCAAGGGCAGTGCTGGCTGGCGAGCAAGGCTCTTGGTAACCATAGCAGCCAAGAGTCTGTAGGGCCATTTGTGCTGCATTTATAAGGCACAACCTAACCTCTGAGTAGACAGGAAAATGTGCCTTAAAGGTTTTCTGATGCAGCAAAGCATTAACTTCCCTTTCTTTTTTAATTTTCTCCTTTTCTGTAGAATGATCGGTCCATGGACACGACACAGACAGTGGGAGGTGAGGCTCTTTCAACACTGGCTGGCCAGGTTTGTTAATGTAACTCTGCAGTCTGCACTGATGTCTGGGGACATGTGCGGGTCATTTCAGGTCAGTGCTCGCTATACACTGCAGACATTCTCCCAGGTTTGCTAATTCATGCAAATGGATGTGTGAGTCCTTTTACTGATTTTTTTTTCTTTCTTTCTAAAACACTCCTTTTAGAATACCTCCAGGACAGGATGCAGACCAAATCCTTCTCCAGGCTTTCAGTTCCAATGTTTGTTTGTTTGTTTGTTTGTTTGTTTAAGACAACAAAACCCCTGGCCCTCCTTCCTCTGTTTCTTTCCACTCATCCTCTCAGGCACCAGCAGAAAAGGATGCCCTTCCCTTGGCTGCTTTGTGTCTCTCTCGTCTGTGCTTCCGCACTGTCCTGAGACTTTTAGACAGGTTTGTGGAAACGTACAAAGCTGAGGGAGGGAAAAAGAAACAAAAAAGAACCTTTTTTATAGTGAGAATCAAACTCATGTCCTTACACTTGCCAGGCCAGTGCCATGTTGCTGAGCAAAAAAAGCCTCTTGAGAGCACCTTTTTAGTGCTTTACCTCCTCCCCGCTTACTAAAAAGGATGTAACCTATTAGATTATGGGGAAAACATTTCCAATTTTAACTTTGAATTCCAAACCCGCCAATTTCTAATTATAAAATGGAAAGACTACTTGAATGCTCACAGAAATGCTTATGTTGAAAGGAGGGGTTGTTTCATAAAGCAGGTGATCCTTGCAGAATGTAATTTGAAGTGTAAATTCTCTGTGAACGAGCAGTGCAGAGCTTGCTTTTGTTCACTTGTGCTCCTCCAGTTTGTATTCATTATCCCTGCATAGGCACAGTCTGCTAAGTGACATGGATCAGTCTATTACACAAGCTTAATCTCTCATACTTGTGGTGGTTATTGTTCTGCAATTCCTGATGAGGAAAAAGAGTAGCAGCCACATTCAATAAAAGTATGCATCCTAATATTGGGACAGCTACAGAGCCACGAGGATTCTAACTACAAACAGTCTGCTTTACCTTCCTCTGAACACGGTGTATCAGATTCCAAGTACTAAATTTCCATCTAGTAGTAAATTCTGTTTCACAGCGACTGAAATTTGCATGTTCCTGTTAATGCTCCACTGGGCCGTCATTTGATGTTACTACACCAGTGAGTGCAACAACATTCTAGAAGCTAAAGTACTCAGAGCAATTTCCAGAAATGTATAAACTTATACCATCCTGAAGCAATCTTTAATAGATGTCATTTTGGCACTTCTCTGGTAGTGCCTTACAGGTTTGTTACAAAAAGGAAATATCTTGCCTCGTACTTCCACTATGACGTCTGTTGAAGTGACAACGCTGATTCCCAAATGGATGACAAGAAACACATTTGTACCATAGAATTGTGCTTCTTTTCTCCTTGTTAATAAAATTGTCTTGTAGTTTGTTTGAAAGTGATTTTCCTCACAGGTAAATAGTGGGTTTTTCCTTTCTTAAGCTAGTGTTATAGTTCAAAGGTGAAGTTCCCCCCAAAGACTCATGCATCAAGGCAGCCAATGTTCAGAGGGAAGATGGAGATAAATGAGTGGATTGTGAGGGCACCAATCTCATCAGTGAATTAATGTATTGATGAGTTTGTGGCTGAATGGGCTGTTAGAGGAAGAGACTTTGCCTCTGAGGGACGCATCTTGGTCCAGCCCCTTCACCTCTCTAGATCTTTCCATCTCTCTCTCTGCTTCCTGTCGGCCATGAAGTGAGCAGATTTCCTTCCCCATATTCTCCCACCATGGTTCTGCCTTGGAGCCAGTAATCATGGATCGAACTCTCTGGATGAGCAAAATAAACCTCTTATCCCTTAAGTCAAGCATGTCTGGTATTTTGATGACAGTGATGAAAATGTAGTGAGGAGGTGGAGATAGGATAGCTTCTTCTTAGGACTGAAGTGAGTGGAAAAGGAGATAGCTCTCTACTTCAAAATCTCCTCCTGTAATTACCACAGAGCCTTTCCCATGAGAACAGAGAGATTGTAGAAATTCAGGGAAAAGAGATGGACAGACAGCCAACAATAAAAACAAGAAGAATACAGCTTTAGCTTTTTGTCAGCATGACAAAATGATTTCTTTCAGGCTCCAAGGTGCTTTTTAGCTGTATTTTTACACTGTGTGTGTGCATAGATGTATTTCTACATAAGTTTAAACACATGCCAAGTAGAATCCCTTGGATTTAGAAAGTACTAGTAAATATTTCTAAAATGAATGAACACTGACCAGCCAGTTCTCAACTGTCACAGCAACTTGAGTTAAAGACTCTGTAGTTCAGGGTGCCCCACTCGATCAAAGGCGATGACTGGGCAGCCAGGGCAGGCTGCACTATATGCTTTCACACATGTCTGGAATCTGTCTACTTCTCTCCCTGTCTGTAACCTAAGTCCTGATGTTTGCTACTCAGTAATCTAGCTTGGGGTCAGCAAACTTTTCCTGTAAAGGACCAGATAGTGAGTATTATTGCAGGCTGATGGTCTCTTGCAGTTTCCCAACTCTGAGTTACAGCATGGAACAGTCACAGATAATGTGCAAACAAACAGAAATAGCTGTGCTCCAATAAAACTTTATTTATAGAAACAGATAGCGGGCCAAATTTGGGCCATGGGCATAGCTCACAAAACTTTGATCTAGGAACCAGCAAGCTCAGTACCTCCTGGGACAGTGTCAGAGATGCAGAATCACAGATCCCAGCCCAGACGATTCCTACACACATCCAGGTTTTTGAGGCTCTGGTCTCCTAGGATGAGGCCATTCTCTGACCTGCTCTGATATCCTAACATGTGTCCCTGAATTTTATCTTCATTTAATTTTCACAGTCCTCCAAACCATTCACCACAAAGTAGCAAGAGGGATATTTTGGAAATAGAAATTGGATCACATCACTTACTAGCTGAAAACCATTCAGTGGCCTCTTATTTAGGATTGTCAAACTCAACAATTACAACAAAAAAAAATTTAAAGTCAACAACAAAAAACAAGATGCCTAGCTAAATTTGAATTTCAAATATTGAATAAAATTTTTGTATAACTGTAGCCCAGGCATGTTTAGCATATAGCATGCAAGATTTGGGACATATTAATACTAAAAATTATTTGTCATTTGCCTGAGATTCAAGTGTCATGGGATGTTCTGCATCTTTATCTGGCAATCCTACTCCCAGAGTTCTGCGAATGTGATCCAAACTGCTCCCTGCAATCTGTGAGACCTGTGTGACCTGTCCCCCTTCCCAGGCACACATCCGTTATATCCTCCCTCACAGCAACCTCACCACACTGGCTAAGTGCCTTCCAGTGAAGACCTTAGGCAAGCAGGGGCTTCTCCCTGGAATCCATCTTCCTCCTACCTCCAGCACTGAGCAAAGGTCTGTATCCTAATAGGTTGAATAAGTATTGAGTGACTAGTAGGCGTATGGTCCTCTTCCACAGCAATCAGACGAGATTTTCAATTAATTTGGAAAAGAGAGGACATGGCAGAAGAAAAAGGTAAATTTAAGCCGAATGACAAGCTTTCTGTTGACAAGCAGTGAGATTCAATTTTGTATTGTAAGAAGATACTTCTGCTGCTCCACGAGGAGTGGCTTGGAGAATAGAAAAAGTTAAGTGAAAGTTAGAGATCAGGACAGAGGTCAGGACACATCAGCCCTGAGTGAGGTCAGGGTTGGAGGATGAAGGTCTGGAGGGAGGGGGCAGTGCTCTCTACACGGACAGAGGGCTTTGCAAGAGACTCAGGGGAAGGAACTACATGCTACACGGCTGAAAGTGCAGCTTGGAAAGAAGTCACCTGATTTTTGGAATGTCCCTTTTCTTAATCAGATGAACATGTCCATGTGGCCTGCCCCATTCACAAGCAAAATCCTTTCATCCTCCATGTTTGGAGCAAAACATACGCTAGCTAGAAAACACGTAAAAGGGAAAGAAGGCATTCGGTAATCAGTGTGCCCAGTCAGAAGGGCTCCAAAAGAAGATCAGGAAGGGCAGCAACGCCTGCACTGGACAGGAGGGTTATCGGAGGTGTCTCCCTTCTCCGATAGTCACCACACAATTCACCAGTAACTTAAATTTACATTTAAATTCCATTTATTATAGCATGACTCTGCCTGAAATTTGCTCTCATTTAATGCTCAGCACCCAAAGATGCACGCCAAATGTCTTCCCATGACAAGCCTCTTGGGCTTTAAGAAATCCAAACAGGAGCCAAGCATGGTGGTGCATGCCTATAATCCCATCGCTTTGGGAGGCTGAGGCAGGAGATTGTGTGTTCAAACCCAGCCTAAGCAGTTTAATGACTTAGTGATATTCTGTCTCAAAATTAAAAATTAAAAACGGCAGAGGATGTAGCTTACTTCAGAGGCCCTGAGTTCAATCCCTCGTAAAAAAAAAAAAAAAAAAAACAAAGAAAAGAAAAGTAAAAGGAGTCTCTAACGGCTTGAGGGTGCCACACTTAAAATCACAGTACTGAGGAGGCTGAGGCTAGGTCACAAGATGGAAGACGAGGACAAGCTGAGCTGCACAGCGAGTTCAAAGCAATTTCGACTACATACAAAGACTCGATCTCAAAAACACCAGAAGAAGAAAAAGGAGACTTGGGTGTGCCTTTCTCTCTCCTTTCTTTTCTGTTCTTTTTTCCTTTCTTTCTTCTTTTCCTCTTCTTTCCTTCCTTTCTTCTTTAGCTCTCAGTAGAGATGGCTGAGTCATGGCTCTAAATAGGACATCGCTGTGGAATAAAGGGAGCCCTCATCAGCTGAGTTAGATGGCTTTCGGCTCACAAAGTTAGAAGCATTTTACCCTGTGTGTTTAAACTGCCTGCAAGACGCACTTGCTGGGTGATTTTTTTCAAAGTTGATTTAATCCTGGCACTTCATAAAATGTGTGTATCCGTTAGAGCAAGAAGATTTTAATTCATGTTCAATAGAAACTTCTGAAAGGGTGGAATAAAACCAAGTGCACAGAATTGGGCCCAAATCTGGCAGTGAGGAAACACAGATGCGTTGGGTGAGTGCAGGACTTCAGGAGACACCCCCTGCCCACACCCAGCCCCCCACTGCCCCCATCCTGCACCCAAAGAAGTCTCTAGTCACATGCCAGAACGGAGCGTCAGGACCTGCCAGAAGTTCTCCCTTGGCTGCCTTCACTGTTTAAATCATTCCTTTTTATTGCATCTGACAAGGCTGAGAATAGTCACGGAAATGCCCACTGGCTGATGATTCTGGCAGTTTCGTGAATTACCACATAAAATGAAATGCTGGGATTCATTCCTTTCTCCGTGGGGCTTTATTCACACTTCGCCGGTGCTGGGCACGCACCACCGGCTGCTCCTCTTGAAGGCTGTCCTCCTGCGTGGAGGCTCAGACCCAGGCTGCCACAGGTTAGACAGCGAGGCGCACCAACCATTTTGTGTTTTCAGAGATTAAAAGTGGGAATACACTGTTCAAGAAAATCATTGCAATTTGTATAGTCCTTTCCTTTTTTTCTTCCTTTCTTCTTCTTTTCTTTTTCACCAAGAAACTCAACGTGATTCTTTGATTAGAATTATGCAAGAGCAAAGAAAGAACACTCTAGAAAGCCTCCATAGAGTTTGCGCCGCAGCCCCCAGGCTGCAGATTTTACTGGCTCTCTGGGAGGAAGTGAGCTAGGTGCCATGAGATGACTCAGACAGCCACTGGCAGATGTCTCAGACTCGGTGATCAGGCTATCAGATTGGAAGAGTTTCCACAGCACAGTGCATTCTGAAAAAATTCCCAAGTTTGCCCACTCGGAAGAAGGGAGGGGGATTTTGGAAGATTGCTTAGTGCAGAATTAAAACGCAAGTTAATTACAGCTCGGTAAAGGAAGAACTACAGATCATTAAGGGAAGACTGAGGTGAGCTACCCACAGGGTAAGGAACTGGGCAAAGTGAAAGAGACAGAGTCAGCACTGGGAATTTCAGTCCACAGACATTTCTTGAGCACCTACTATGGGCCAGTGCCCCTGACTCCTGGATCTAATCTCCATTCTTTAGAGACATGAGTTACCTTAGACACCAGGGACAATGCTGCCAGAGTGGGAACAGTTATGCCTTCTCTCTCCTCTGGGGTCTTCCTGCTCTACTGTCTTATGTCCAAGATGGGGCAAGAGTGAGAAAATTTGCTTTGACCTCGGCCCACTCTGGTCGTGGGGAGGATAATCCATCCCCAGGCACAGCATGCGCTTCCTGCTTTGCCCTCCCGCGTTGGGGACTGAGTTTCCAGCCCAGGAGCTCTGAGAAGCACACTCAGAGCAGAGTGAGAGCCAGTGCATGGCCACAGATGGACAAACTACAAAGCTCTTTGAAGAGCAACTGGGAAAATCTGAACACATAAAAGTAGACTTTATAGGACACTAAGAAATCGTCATCTTTGTTAGATGTGATAACACTTTGGCTATGCATAATGTGATATCTGTATTTTGAAGTACATAAAAAATTTTTAAATCTTGAAATAGTTAAATACATCAGAAATTTAGAAAATCTTAGGGCTCAGGAGAGTAACTCAGTAGTAGAGGTACCTAGCACGCATGAAACCCTGGATACAATTCTTGTCCTTCCCCCTAAAATGTTAGAGACTCCTTAGATTTTATTTTCAAGCATTTCTCTTTTTTTGTATTTGTATACTATAGAAAATACAAATTGTCTTTAATAAGTATACATATATAAATATATTTTTCTAAAATAAAAGAAAGTGCATGTTTAATACTTGAAATCCTCTAAGAACATGCAACCTAAAAAAATCAGTAAATGACTTAACCATGTTTTAAAACAAATAACTAGCTACACAAAACATGTTGTTTATTATTATTGCTATTAGTAATCTTTTTGAGACAAAATTTCACTATGTAGTTCAGGCTGGACTCAAACTCACTTAGCAGCCCAGGCTGGCCTCGAACTCACAGTAATCCTCTTGCCTCAGCCTACTGAGTGCTGGAATTACAGATGTCCACCACCATTCTCTGCTAAATACTTTTTTAGAAGTATGGAAAAAACAACCAGAAAAATAGATAAAACAGTTAAAAGTGCGTGCCTCTGGACAGCGAAGCTGGGGTGAGATGAGATGAAGTGGAAGGTGGGTGTTTTTCTTTACTAACTTCCAGTTCTCAAACATATTTGAGTAATTTTGACATTTTGTCCTTCAGGATCAGCACACATCCAGATCCCACTTGCCACCTACCACTATTCCTCAGAGTTGTAGCTAAGGTTTTCAAAATTAGCTCTGTTTGGCAAAGTTGTAACCTTTATTTTCAATTCTCTCTAGTTAGACAGCAATGCAGATTAACATATTTTAGAACAGTTTTTCCTCATAAAATTGAAAAAAAAAGAAATTGTGACAAGAACATTAACCACAACATTCTCCAATTATTCTTCTTGGCTAAGAAGCTTGGCTGGCAAGCCTTAGTGCAACTAAGAATTCACACACCAACTAACTGCTCTAGACTGATGCTTTAGGCCATAGCTAAGTGTCCAAAAGCCCAAGAGACTCCTCTGTCAGTGACTCCTAGAGGGTACAATGACATGACCTGCTTCAGAAGTGGACAATATAAACGTATCTTTATGATAAAATGTTTAATGGATTTAAGGAATAAAAACATCATATCTGAGGAAAAAATGCTCCTAGAGGGCATTTCTATGGAAGATGTGTTTGACGTGTGATATAGATTTAGCAGTGTTGTTGGTTGATTGAGCAGTAATTGATTAGCATTTTTATTAATAAAGTCTCCTTTGCTTTAGGCATCAGTAGGAGATTTACTTATCAGATTTCATCCCATTTTTAGACATTATAAAATTTATAAATTAAAGATCATCTAAAGAGAGAACATTTCATTACTTTGAGGGAATATTGTCATTCTTTAGTTAATCGGAATGACATATTAACATCATCTAATTTTAATTTGGTGGGATAGCATTGAGATGTTACTATGAATCCAACTCATTGGTTGACTTTAATTACTAAGCTTAGTTGTTATTCCTTCATTCAACAATTTTTTTTTTTTTTGGTAGCAGGGGCGTCAAACTCATAACCTCGCATTTTGCCAGGTAGATGCTTGCTTGTGCTGCTAAACTAAACCCTCAACAAGTGATTACTTAGCATCTATATGCAAACATTCTGGGAATGCAATAGTAAGATAAAGCTGATCCCTATTCCTTTAGTTTAAAAGCTAGTGGATATGACAGATATCAAAATAACAAGAAATTAGCATGAAACATAACCAGAGCTCTAAGAGGAGAGAGAAGTGGAGAGGGGCCTTCCAGTGTGTGTCACTAGACACTGGGCCCCTCTGAGCTCTTTCTCTACCCCCACCTTGCTTCAGGTGGAAAATCCAGGAGTAAATACTGACATCCCAGGGATTTGGGTAGCTACTTGGGAACAGGGAATATGTCACAGCGGAACACACAATCCATGTACAAACCACTCTTATTGGTACAGTTTGTGCTGGCTTGTTTTCTTGGTGAACTCTTAGTAAGCTTTTGCATTCCAAGGAACCATTGAATGCAGACAGTTATCAAAATGAATGTCTTCATAGGTGGGTTCTTCAGACAGGTAACAGTCTAAAAAAAACCTGCTCCTAACATGAATATAGATACTAGTGGTGCAATACCAAGTAATTCCACAGTGACTTTTAAAATGAATCTGGAACACCTAGATTAACTTCCAGGTATGTGGATTAGGTGGATGGGGCAGGACCAGATAGGAACATTGTGACATGCTAACTATAAGCAAAATGTGTATTACCTTGTGAGCCAGATTTTCATTGTATTCTAAAACATGAGTTTTGTTTATTTTAGAACATCCTCATTGTGGAGGCAAGCTGGCTTTTTTTTTTTTCTACATTTGGAAGTTGAAAGAATTTAAAAGTGAGTTTTAAAATGTAGACCTTGTTACCAAATCTGTCAAGGATTTATTGAGTTTCAGTTGTATGCCTGGCTCTCCAAATTTATTGAATAGGAGCTAACTATAATCTCTGGCCTGCATAATTTAGTATCACAGTTTGGTAACAATGGTTGTGTGATACTTTGTCCTGTCTTACATCCATTTTCACAAACAGCTTAGTTGGTTCTTGTACTGGCTCTTCACTGAAATGTGAATCAGACAGCTGTAAGGAAGAGGAAGCTGGCCTCAAGAACCAATTCTATTTAACAGTAAAAGCCAAGGTTAGAACTGTCTTTGTCCTTCATTCAGTGTCCTTGCTGATGACTTTAATGACTTTAATTCTCTAGTACATTCAACATCGAAATCATAAATACAATCACTTTTTAGAAAGTGGCAATCTAAGGGAACGCTATATATTTTTTCCCTTTAAAACAAAAGGAAAAGGAAAAAGAGCGAGCGGCATGGCAGGAGCCCTGTGCACTAGCACAGCAAGCAGCCACCTCGCGTTCAGGGGCAGGTCTGTCTCACCAGCTGGGGACAGCTCCGGGGAGCTACCCTCGGGCTTTTGTTCCTCGATTGCCTGTGTGTGCCTGACACATCCGCAGCTCTTCAGGCTCCACATGATCCATGAAGCAGACCCTCCAGCCGAATGAATTGCCCTACCCAGGCTAAATTCAGACCTCTTGTGTTGATAATCAGCTTCTGACAGCTGATTTCTGTCCCACAGACAATGAATTGTGGAGGCCTATTTTACTCTAATTGTGCCCGCAGCTCCTCGGTGGAGGGGAGCCTGAATTCACAGCAGCCTCAGACCCTTAGAACTCGTGGGCTCTTACCAGCTGCTGCCCGGGCACATCTCACTTCCCAGTGGCAGAATCCCCTATTGGGTGGGGAGTGGTGGGGGGAGGTGTTTATCCATTCAGTGTATTCAGATGTACATCCCATGCGCATGAAAATTCATGCCTCTCATATTGTGTTCCATCACCTCGGGGCCAAATTTTGTCCCTGAATGTGCATGCACAAATCCCAGTGTACTCCAGGAGAAGGAGCCCACATGCTCTGGAAAGGCTGAATTAGCCCTTCCACACAGCTCCAGAGGCAGGAAAAAAACATTGCCCTGTATATTCCCTGACATTAGACTCCCAAAAAGAAGGACATTAGAAAATCCATCTGGCTCTCCTTCTTACTTTGATGACAGTAAAATGCCATTTGTAATTAGGATGCATTGTTAATAAGGACAAGCTCTCAGGATGAAAGAGCTGTGCTCCTGCACAAATGCATTTTGCTGAACTTGTCTGTGCTTTTGCAAAGGATCTTGTTGGGAAGGGGGAGACCATGAAAGCCCTGCTCAGCAGTACAGAGAAATACAAACCAAACATGATAAAGGTAGCCAGGTAAGTGTGGCATTCATACATAGCACAGCGAGTTCTGTTCTTCCTCATGAGTGCAGAGGGATCCTAACCCAAGATGCTTTTCTCAAACAGTATTATTGTCTGTTGCAACCACTGGGCCCTTCCTCTGGGGGAATCTGATTCAGTCACACTGGGGAATGGCCTGTTTGTTTGCTAACCTCCCAGAGAACGGGAAAGGGGAGTGCTTTGCCCATTTCTGAGCCCCTCCTGGCTGTGCCTCCAGGAGCAGAGCTGTCTGTAGGAGCAGCTAAATGAAGCCCTGAGCAGTTGCCCAGCTCCCTTCCTTTCGTCCAGATGCAATGGCAACAAGGGGAGGAGTCAAATAGGGTGTGACAGAGCTTCCCTCCCCCTTTTCCTCCCCCAAGGGAAAAGAACCCGTACCTTAGTGATGTTTAATTCTATTTGTGATTACCTTGATGGGAATGACTAAAGCAAGCCCCATTTTTAAATTGGCAGTTTGTTGGAAAGAGAATACCAAGAAGTAATGGCCTTAGACCTGACTGCAAATGGAGTTTTTTTGTTTTCATTTTTTTGTGCTGGTGTTGTGTGCCTCATTGGTTTCCCATTGACAGTGATCCTTGTGTAGTGGAAGTCATGTAGGACTGGTAGTTGTCTCCTCATCTCTGTTAAAACTGAGGGGCTTAAGCCTTGTAACATGCATCTATCACAGACTTCTGTCCTACATGTTAGCTATTATTATTATCTGGTTTTATGCAGACCTTTACTCTAAAGAAACCTGGCTAGTCAGTGTGAGGGGAGAGGAAGACTTAGCTTGCTCACCTGATTCAGACACTCAAGGTTCTTCCCTGGGCCTTTTCCCATCAGTCACAGAGGTCCTGTGAAGGTGTCCAAAGTCCTTCAGGACCTGTTACCACACAGTGCATAATGGGGACTTTAGAAAGCCTGACTCTTAAGGCACAGAAGAGGAGACCCAAGGCGTCTCCCAGTCTAACATCCAGAAACATAGATGAGAAGCTAGAGCAGTTATCTCTACATACCTTCTTCCCATGTTACTCTAGGGTGGCCCTAATCTAGGGCACTTTTCCCTGCCTCCCCACAAGGGGGTTAGTTCTAATGTCAGAAGAAATAAACAAGCAGCCAGATTATTTAATTTTCTAACACTAGAGGCAATTCTGCTTTTTACTTGTATAAGGCAAACTTCAGCTTGATTTTTATAACTTCCATTTGCTCTAAAGTCCCAGGATAATTTGGCTACAGTTCTCATCACAAGCTGAACAAACATTAGAGACAGGCACAGTATGGATGGGTCATATGCCAGTGACTCTTCATTCTAACAACAAGTCTCATTCCTCTGCGGTAGGTTTCAGCTGGGGTGGACAGACCCAAGGGTGTGTTCCTGCTAGGTACTGGTTCCGGAAATCTAAGCCGGGTGTCAAGGTAATATGAGGTTACTAAACAGAAATGTTGTAAGGACTTAGTGTAAGATATCCACTATATAGATAACGGAAACTGAAATTGAAAAACATTCACTTCAAACATATCCAATGAATTACAAGTTTCTTTTGTTGCTTACAACAAAAACAAATAAAATAATAACAACTCAGGCTAGGACTGTAGTTCAGTGGTAGAGCACTGGCTTAGCATGTGGGGGACACTGGGTTTGCTCCCCAATACCATAACAAATAAAATAATGAAATAAAATAAAATGATAATTCTTAACACTAGCATGATGTGTCCAGCATTGTTTTAGGAGCCTCAGGAGATTAACTCATTTCATCCTCACAGCAGTTCTCTAAACATAGCTGCTGTTGTAATGCCTATTGAGTAGATGAGGAAATGGAAGACACCTAGGTTAAGTAGCTTGCCAGGGTCACATAGCTGCACTGGAAGGCCAGAATCAAACCCAGGCAGTCTGTCTGGTAAACATCACGAGTGTAGGAGTTGTACACATTTACCAGTGAGTGATGGTCACTCACATTTTTGACTGTCCTACTGATCCATTGTCCTTCTTTTATTCCTGACATAACAAGATTTGGCCTCCTAATCTGTCTCTGGGCTCTAGTGTTCCTAGTCTGTGCAGCTGCACCTATTGTAGAGATTGCATTGCTCGCTGTAAAGTCACTATAGTTACGACCCGGGGATTTCCTGGGATTTACTCATATTCTTTTAGCGGGCCCAGAATCAGGTTTTGTGGTTGTTGTTATTGTTGTCATTGTTGTTGCTGTTGTTTTGTTTTGTTCATGGTCCTGGGGATCAAACCCAGGGCCTCGTGCATTCGAATCAAGAGTTCTGCCACTGAGCCACGTCCCAGACCCCAGTTTTGCTCTCTGGATTTCTGAAGCTTTTAATCCCTTTCTTATCATTGATTCTTTCTTATATGCTAAACATAACCTCTGAGGTCTTTTTTTCTGCTCTTGTATCTCCTCTTTGATTATGTTTTCTCAAGAAACTCTGTCGTTTGGAGGAATCAAGCAGGCTTTCTGACCAAGAAGTCCACAGTGCAATCCCCTACAGAACTGAGCCCTCCCTCACCTCTAGCATGTAAAGAAGAGTCCATGTGAAAATAGTTTGGTCACAGGTCACAGGTCACAGGAAATACTGAGACATGGTCGCCATGGACATAATTGGTCATGCTATAAGCCCACTGGCATATTTTTCTTACTTCTTTCTACCTACATGAAAAGTCCTTATACTTTGAATATTAAGAAAAGTATATGTAACATTAGTCTTAAGGTAATCTATTTTTTTCTTTCTCTCTCTATTTGCTAAGATGCTGGATTTGAGATTCCAAATTTATTTGTGGTGGGGTATGCCTCAGATTATAATGAATACTTCAGAGATCTGAACATAAATCTTGCATGCAAAACCTTAATCCCATTTTCATAAAAAAAGCATCAGTGATATTAGTTTAACAGGTTATTGAAATATTATTGATGGTGACTGCTTTTATGGGTATCTTTCCATGTTGGGCATATATTGAACACCCTGCCTCCTTCCTCCCAGTGAACCCCCAGTAGCACCCTGAAAAGTTGGTATTAGGATGATGGAAGGAGGTGACAGCTCCTTGCTGATTTTTCTCCATAGTCACTGACTCTTCCTGACCAATCATAATAAATAGCCAGTGTTCTATAAATGGTTCATATCAGTGCTTGCAATCAAACTGGTTCCAGTAACAATGGCGCGTAACTCAATTATTCCCCCTTTGGGGAAACAGTCAATATACAAACATGGAAACACGCTCCCCATGGGGACCCCCAACTTTGTCACTCTGATCTACAAGTAGAATCTGACTCGAAGTAGACTGATCAAGGTCTTACTCTTAGAAATTAGAAACTTTTAGTCAGGGTCTTACTGTGCAGTTCAGACTGAGCTTGAATACACCATGTAGCCCAGCCAGACGTGGAATTCATGATCCTCTTTCCTCAGCCTCCCAAATATTGAAATTATAGGCATGCATCATTATAGAGAGTCCTTCCCAGAACATTTATTGCTCTGGGAAGTTTATATTTATAATCCGATGGAAAAGCTATTGGCAGTTCAACAAGTTAATTCCAATCTACCACTTCCAGTGCAACCCACAGTGACATATTTATAGTTATGGGGAGCCAAAGAGTCCTAAGTCCAGCCAGGATGAAAGTTCATCAGAATGAAGACCCATACCCAAGGCCCAACCTGGATTTTATTAATTTGTGAAGAAGGGTGTGGCTTGAGGATGAGTGACTGAGAAAATGGCGGGAATTATGTGAGTACCACGAGCTGGGCTTAGCAAGGAGGCCTGAAATCAACTGTGCAATATGCCGAGAGGAGGCTATGCAGAAAGACCAATCCTCATAACACAATTGAGGTAGTATTTATTTATTTATTTTGTCTTTTTGGGTCTCACTATGCACTTTTTGGCTTGAACTCACTTTGTAACCTAGGCTGGTCTCAAACTTGCAAGGATTCTCTTGCTTCAGCCTCCAAAATGCTCTAATTACAGGTGTATTCCATCACACCGGCTGACATAGCATTTGCTGGTGGCTCACCTATGAGGTGCAAATTTTTCTGCCCTGGGAAGTCATAGACTCTTATCGTGGGGTCCAGTTGATAGCCCTTGAGTGGTGACTGTATCCCACGCAGCTCAGCTATGCTTTAGGAGTCACAGGGCAGGGAACAGCAAGTGGACTGTCACCTAGCTTCAAAGATTATGCAACAGCACCTCAGCTGGCCCCATTTACATTGCTTACAGCCAGTTAAATGGAAAAGGAAATGGCCCAGCCAGCTCTGCACATATATCAGCATGTGGAGACAGGGCCAGGTTTAGCCAAAGTAGAGATAACTGCTCTTTGTTCAAGGAGAGTCGCCCAGGTGGTCCTCCACACACCAGACTCCTGCCAGAAATTAGAAACCAAGGAGACAGAGATGGAGGGCTTGGAGGATAGACACTGCTGTAAAGCAAAGTCCCAGAACACTTCCACAAGCACCTGGGTTGAGGACAGTGACTTCACTGTTCATGTCATCCTGAGATTCCATGAGCTGCCCTGGTATCCTACCAATAATCCTCCTTTTTAGCAGGTAGATCAACTTGACTCCCTTTCTGTTGCTTGCAATAAAAATATTCCCAACATGTTTCTTGTTATCCAAAATGGCTCATGAAAAGTTCACACTTTATTTTCCACTGTCATTTCTCCATCCACCCATGCAATGATCATTTTACCATTTTTGTGATTTTTATCTTATTTTAAAGAGAATAAAACCAAAAAAAAAAATTAAAAGTCTTGTAAGTGACACAGGACTTCAAAACAAGACAATAGGAAATCAACAATGGTTATCATAATGTCTCTTGTCGTCTTCAGAAGAGCTGTCCATACCTCAGATATAGTAAAAATCGAATAAAACGAACAGAATAGAACCAATAAAAACAAAACAGTGAACACAATAAAGGACTTCAAAACAAGATCATAAGTAGTAAATCCAAAATGGCTATACAAATGTATCTTTTTTATCTTTGAAATAGCTGCCCATGCTATTGGATATAATAAATAAGACAAAACAAAATAAAACCCAACCCAATAAAACAATGAAAATGATACAAGACTTCAGAAAAAAATAGTGGGAATTAACAATGGCTACGACCTTCAGAAGGAAATCCTTCATGGGAGCTACATTGCATACTGTTAATCTCTGAATAGATGATCAGACTACCAGTTTCAGGCCTAAAAAGGCAGTGAAGCATGAAACACTGCAAGCATTAAGTTGTATTTTACCTTGATAGCTACCATTGTAGCCTGTGTTTCTCCAGATGAGCTGGTCAATACAGGCGTGTGTGAGGTGGTAGTGGGGGGACCTTGGTTCCTCTGCTCTCCCAGCCCATGTGACAGAAAGTGCTGACGTCTGGTTCTCCCCTCAGTGGCCCTCACATGGTGTTGACTCGCAGGAAGGGCTTGGCTTCTTGTTGGCTTCTTGTTCTCCTTCCCTGCAGGTCACAAATGGCCCCAGTAGACTTCTTTCCCCACCACAGAAACACACACTGTACTCTAAGCAATGCTGGCTTTGAGGGGCCGGGAAGCCAGATCGGAGTAAGCCTCAAAGCTAAAGTAACAAAGAACCTTGACCCAGGCAAGTTGGGATACACCTATAATTCCAGCAGAGGCAGGAGAATTGCCACAAGTTTGAGGCCAACCTGAACTGTAAAGTGAGCTCAAGGCCAACTTGGACTCACAGCAAGACTTTGGCTCAAAATAAAACAGAGACTTTTGTATAAATGCACGAATATGTGTCTGGAGGAACAATAACCAGTTACAGGGTGGCATTCTGTTATTACTGTACTTTATATATTGTTAAGAAACTGACACCTTTAAACTTTTTATTGTTTCAATATATATACATGATGATCAATGAACACAGTAAAGAAAAATTCCAAGTTTAAAGAAATAAATGCTCATTGTCAGGTTCCCAAATAATATCACAGTTACTGCTACACTCAGGAGGCCAGCACGTAAAATCTGTCCCTTGGGGCGTCTTCACTCAGCAGGATAAAAAAGTATTTTAAGGGAGCTTTCTTTTCTGAGACTATAATAGAAAGGGCACCACAGGCTTGTAAGGAAAAGAACGCAGTGCTTTTATTTGACTTGATCCAGATTACACATTCCACCTTCTGACTCAGGGTTCTCCCCACCTCACACTCCTCAGCTGCACCTTCTTTTGTTTTGATAGTCACTAGGCTTGATTACTACTCCCAGGACTTTCCCCACCTAGTTACTCAAATATTTTTCACCTAACCTTCTCTAGTACTCTATTTTTGGAACATTTTACACTACTAAGAACCTGGAAACCTTTTAATGTAATATCTGAGCCCGAAAACTAAGAATGCAGCTAAGTTCCCATACTTAAAAAAAAAAAAAAAAAAGAAAAGAAAAACAAGAGGGAAAGGAGAACTTAACATACATTTCTGTTTGCACATTCCTGACAGCACGTTATTATCTGCTTTGACACAGCCTTTCAGAAGCTCGGGGACAATGAATCTTAATGATGCTATGAGTTGAGCCCTTGCCTGGTTCTCCTTGATCTGAGTTTCCAGCGTGCGGTGATGGTATGTCACGGGTGCATGGACGTGCTCAACTGTGTTTAATACTCTGAATTTTAATTAGAAAAGACAATGGCGATGAGGCCCTGGTTCCTGTGCTGCATCCTTTTATTCACGCAGGACAGGAGCAAATGGTGGAATCAAGACAGGGAGTGTGTTCAGTGCTCAAAACTAAGCAAGTATGTATTTTTCTTCCTACTTGTATCAAGGAGAAGACAGTTTAAGTACCGTCCAAAACATGAACACAGGCATCGAGTTATTTTTTTAAGTGTGCTTGTAAGACGGTTCACACAGTCTGAGGTGCTATAGGAAATAAGCATACTTACATAAGTATTTTTTTCAAATTTTTTCAAATAACACCACTGTATGAGATGTTTTCTAACTTGTGTGGATTTTAATTGAGAATCAGTTGAGTGTCAGTAGAGCTGGGGGTTTTCCCCTCACTTCCTAAAGCAGACAAATTGCAAAATAAATAACTACTAGTAAGCAACCTTTGTTGGATTTTGAACTATACATGGTTTATTAGTATGAGGCTCTAGTATCCTTTAATAAAAAATCAGAAATATTGTTTGTTTCCTAATTGCTTACTGTTTTTCTTCTACCTTCGTATTTTTAGTATACCTGCATCCGTTAAAATGTTTATGAGCCTAAATAATAAATAAATATTTATTCATTAAATAAATAACTGCATATAGCTGTTCTGTGCCTGTATTTTTGTTAACCTGGATTAAATCCAAAATAGACACTAATATAAGCAAACAATTAAGCAAGGCTATATCTGCTGCTTTCGCTAAACCTTGTTTGTAAAAACAAGGAATTTTAAGGGAAGATTTTCCTGCTTATCTTTGTTCTGATCAGAAAAGAAAACAAACCATGCCCGTGTATCTCTAGGGAGAAAAGGGATGCCCTCCCAGCTCTGTTCCATAACATAATTAAAGCCCAATTTATAGAGTTAATATTTGTACATAACTACAGAACTTCTTGAGTCATCAAAATTAATCATCCAAACGTAGTTTTCTGTATTTCAGAAGACCTACAGAAATCTAAGCACACAGACTAAGTGTCTAAGTGACAAAGACTTTTAAATTCAAATCACTCTTAAAGTATGCTTTCTTGAATTTTAGTAAGCATCAGTATCATTTCTGAGGATAATTTTTCAGATTAGGAAGGAAACTGACCTACTTCACAAGATTTTGAGGATTTATACAGTAAAGGCTAAAAAGAAAAACATTAAATACATGAAAAAGTTGAACATTTCTGCAGTTTTTTTCTCTATCACACAATATTTTGATCCAAGAATATAATCTTAGGAAAAATAGTGTTGTCTTTTCTCTTGCAAAAATCACTAGATGAAAATCACTAGTGTTAGACTACTAACACTTAAACTCATAAAAATTTATTACCTACAAATCTATTTATTCAGTGTTCCAAAAGTGAGTAGGGGTGTGTGTGTGTGTGTGTGTGTGTGTGTGTGTGTGTGTGACAAAGAGAGACAGATTAGGACATCCGATTCTGTTACTGTCAACGTTAGCAGTACTTTGGAATTCTCCAAATAAATTAGAAGTTCTCATTGTAAACTGGCCCTTTCTTCCCTAGACAGGAATCTACTACAAACTGTACCATGTATCCACAATGTGAAAAGCAAATAGTAAGGTCTCAGTGGGGCCGTGGGTGCTCTTTGGCTATCTTTGAACACAACATAATTTGCTGTGTGTCAGCTCTTCTGAGACTACAAAAAACAGCCTTTCAGATCAGGTTAGAAATTTGCGCCTCTTGTGGGATAAACTTGTGATTTCCCAGTGCAGAAAGAAAGAAATTTATCCTACTTCTAGAAACACGGCGTGTTGGAAATGTTTCCTCCCTTCTGTAACAGAAGTAGTCCATTTTAGGATCTGACACCCTGAGCCACATTCTACCCAGTTGTCTGGCTAACCTGGGCAAACAGCATTCGGGAATTTGACTTACTTTGCTGTAACAGAGTCCCTTTGAGTCCCTAGGTGACACGTGAGGACTGGTGGGAAGGCTGGTTCCAGGGGGAAGGGAAGGACTGAAGAGATAGAGAGCTGGAGCTCAGGGGAGGGCTGCGTGATTCCACGGCCCATCAGACAGTGACTGTGTATGAGCCACTCCCAAAATGACTGTGACAGAGACTTCAGTCCACAGCGCTGCTCCCATGCATGGTGGCTTTATACTACAGGGCGGAGCTGACAAGCCCTGCAATCACTGAGTAATGTGGCAGAGCTTGGGGACACAGAGGGATGGGACAGGCAGATCCCTGTTGAGGCTCCAGAAAGAGCACCCACACCCAGACCTTAACAGGGTGCCACCTGTGAAGGCTGCACATACTCACAGGGACTCAGGAGCACCACGGAACATGTAGCTGATGGAGTCGTGGGACAAAGCTCAGAGCAGCCCAGAAATGGTGTGCGCCTCTGCTGGTGCCCTGCATGAAGCCACCAGACCCTGCCTGCCACAGACACCGCCTGAGAACAGCATCACTCCGCTAGGAGACATTGCTTTTTTTCTTTAAGGGTGTCTTTTTTTTTTTTTTTTTTTTTTCTACTCAGAATAGATGGAGGGTTTTCTTTTTCTGTTTCACAGGTTGATATTTGCGATTTCCCAGCCAGGAATGAGTGCTTTTTGAATGCCAGAGTAGATTTTCCTGAGAAATATCTGGAAGAGAGCATGAAGAGAGGGCAGGGTGCTGAAATGCAGCATTTTCCTAGTGGGAGAAATCAGCCTGAAGTAATGTTCCTGTGACCTCATTTATAACCAGAGTAATGTGTGTCCAGCAGTGACTCAGCTTGGAGTGAGGAGGATGAGTACAGGGCTATTTCAGAAGCCTGACTGGATATGGCAATGGATAGCCATTGCGAGAAAGCTTTTTTCTTTTTCTTTTTTTTTTTTTGCTTTGTACTGGGGATTGAACTGACAACCTAGCCTGACAGGCAGGCACTGCGCAGCTGAGCTATATTTTCCCTGAGAAAGCTTTTCAAAAGACTGCAGCAGGCCAGGGCAGAGCTCCGTGGTAGAGCAAGCCTAGCATGCACAAGGTCCTGCGTTCAATGCCCAACACCTTAAAAAGGAGGGCACTCGTGCTTCTCTGTTTGCTGCAGAGAAGACCACAAACCAGAGGGAGGAAGAATACATTTGTTATTGACTGCTTTATAACAAGACTGACAGGCATTTGTGTTGCTCGGCATGCTTTGCGAGTGTTTCTGTTCTGTGATAGCTGGTGCTTCAGCTGGAAGAGTCTAAGGCTGAGGGCTGCAGCTACTATAATTAATCCAGTTGGAACCACAGGGCCACTCTACTGCCCCAGGCCAACCTGGGCAATGCCCCAGGGCCATCACCCTCACACACACACACCCCTTTGTCCGAAGAACTGTACTACCCAGAGGCAAAAAGAAACACACACACACACACAGACCCCTGGGTTCACCCTAGAAGATTTGGAAATCCCAAAGCAGAATGTTTGGGTTCCAGAGCTGCTGGCATAACCCAAAGTAACATTCCTTTACTTGGAATGCATTAAATGTGTGTGTGTGTGTGTGTATGTGTGTGTGTGTGTGTGTGTGTACTGCACCTCATTTATTCAGTTCTAACAGTGGATTATGGGAAAGGACACATACAGTAGATACAATGACAAGATGCAGTGCTCCACCAAGCTCATTGTCAATCATGCTCTAGAAGCTCTAGTAAGAGGCATCTTAGACCCTATGCAACATTTTAAATTCTTTTTTGCCATTGTTAGAGAGAGAGCCTCACTAGGTAGCTCAGGCTGTCCTTGAACTCACCATGTAGCCCAGACAGGCCTTGAACTTGTTTGTGTTGATTCTCCTGCCTTAGTCTCCCAAGTGCTGCGATTACAGTCAGGCACCACCACATCCAGCAACGTTTTTAATTCTTAAATTCAACGTGTTCAGCCCTCGTGCTGTTTTGCTCTCCACCAGCCTGAGCCTGCTCACTCTGGGTGTACTATTGTCTGATTAAAACTTTGCTGCTTTTCCTTACCACTGCGTGCCACATCCAGTTATTTCTTCTTCAAATACAAGAACCTAGGAAACCAACCTGCAGGAACCCCATCACCCATGGTAATAACGCTAGGGGCAGCCATTAGACACATTTGGTTATTTAAATTTACATTAAATAAAATCAAGACTTCACTTTTACTATTTGTTATAATTGCTCAGCAACCCCCTGGTGGTGTTTACCTTATTGAAGGGGGTAGACGCAGACCATTTTGCTGATCAGGGAGCATTCTGTGGATAGCTCTTAAGGAAAGGCTTGTTTATTCCCATGTCTATGTTGCATTGGCTGTCCGCAAGAGCCTTAGCAGAACC